TTTTTAATATGAAAGAATGAAGTTTAACCTCAAAAGATCTACTATATTTCATTCCTTACCTATGTTTACCTATGTTACCTTTTCATCTCATTTAATTAGTCTGCATTTTTGATAAACTATCATCAAGACTTTTGTCATGTTATAACCACTAATTATCCGAAATTTCGAACTTTCAATGGCTAATTATCCTAAACTTTTAACTCCCAGTGGCTTTTATGACTTAAATTATTTACTAGCAATAAATTTCATGATTATTAAATGATAACGAATGATAATGTGATAAGCTATTTTGGATATAAGATATATGTACTGCATTGAGTTATGATGAAAATAATTTCGTGATAACATTTTGCAAAAATTGTATGAGAAACTTAGAGACAGTAATTTAGGATTTACTAGTTCTTCAGGTCATTATTCAGATTTAAATTTAGATGTACTAATCAAGATTTAATCTTACATATACTGCAAATTATTAGAGTGTTTTCAGTTAAGTGTTGACTACCAGACAGGTATTCAAGATATAGTATAGTATCTCATTATTCTTTTCAAGACCCAACTTTTTACTATCCTCAAAAGTTAAAAATGGAAGTTTTACCACACAAAGTTTTACCATTACTTTCCAGAATGTGATCTCTCATAAAAAGATGATAAGAAGTTGTTGTATTACACATTTATCATGCAATATAATCAATTTGAGAAGATCATTAAACATGAAATATACTATAGTCAAAAGTCAAAAGATGATACTAGAAGGTTATAGGTTAAACAGGAAACATGAATGTTATATACATAAACAAGACATGTTGTTATAACCTATAACCTTTAGTATCAAATAGTAAATACAATAAAAGAAGCAGTGTGGTATTATTTGTTTTAAAAATAGAAAATTTTAGATAAATCATTTGAAATAATAATAATTTTAATTAGATTACTATTTACCTAAAAAATTAACTAAATTAGAAATTTCTTCATTGAAATTTTGAAACTTTTCAAAAAGTATTAATTGATTTGATATGATTTAATTTGATATTTTACTAATATTCACAGATATAATTGATCACTGATTGCATTTATCAATCATTTATCATTTTACTATCACATATAAATTTATAAAAAGAAAACTATTATTGGCTTTTCTTTATTTGAATAAAACATAATAATTACTATTTTCATTACTATAATACTAAAATATTTATTATAAAATGGAAATAAACAAGAAGTGAAAGAATTTATTTTCACACATAATTCTTCAAATAAATAATTAAAAGCCAAAGCATATTTGATGTCATTTTATTTTCTCATAAATAGTTGGGTATTAGATTAAACTAACATATATCATATAGTTATATCTTATTTAATCATACATAAATTTTAACTAAATAATTCTTAAATCATATCTAAATTTCTATTAAATCTTAAATGCAAATATAAATTTGCATAATTAGTATTGGTATTATTTTCATACTTCAATATTATCGTTGCTCCGATTTTCATATAATAATAAATTGAATGAATATCACCTGCTCGTTATATTTATGATACAGTTGAAATTGTATGAATAGAAAATGATTCAATGAAAAAAAGTAGATGAGAAAATAAGTTGTAAAAATAGAAAATTTCATTTTACATTATTCGTATTCTTTCCTGTTCTTCGTCTTTCTTAGTATCATGAAGAAGAAGTAAATAATTTATATGAATGAATCCATCAAAAGTATTGCCTTACTTACTTTATTGAATCTCTTAAAATTCATTCATAAATTTTATTTTAATAATATTCAAAAATAAAACTCATAAATCGCCTAATTAGACATTTTCCAGTAACTATTATTCAAATTTTATCCCAAATATATTTTACTAAATTATTATTGTTTTTGTAAATTTGTAAAAAATTACACATTTGAAATTTCTCTTTCAAAATTAATAATTTAAATTATAAAAGAAATGAATTTGAAAATTAACGATAATTATGTTTTAATTCAAATATCATTCATTTTCGTATTCTTTCATCTTTAGTTTATTTTTCTGTCTTCGATCAAATTAAATTGTTGCAAATTTCAACTCTTATCCAATTCATTTACCACTTATTTGCAACAATCGTATCGTTTGCTTTTAAATTTAGGACTAAAATTGCTTATTTATTTATTTTGTTCATTTCCTTTATCATATTTTTATATTATCTAAAAAGTAATTAAAAAATTTGATATAATTTAAATTGTTTTTTAGTTTTCCATATGCGAAATGTTTGTAATTTTTTTGTTGTAAAATTTTAACAATAAGATAATTATTCCAAATATCTTATATAGGAATAATCAAATCAAATAGGTTAGTGATATATAATAGAAATATTTTAAGATTAATTCATTTGCTTCAGTTTCATCAGTTATTCATTTTATATTCTCATTAATCAACTGTCTATATTTATTCTATACTTTTATAACTATTTTATACTTTTCTATCTATTTATATCTTTTATTCTATACTTTTCTATTTATTAAAATAAATTCATTTGCTTCAGTTTCTTCAGTTATTCATTTCATATTCTCATTATTCAAATCTCTTTATTTATACCATACTTTTATATTTATTTTATACTTTTATTCTATACTTTTCTATTTTACACCTTTGATCCTATACTTTTCTAATTATTTCATACTAAATAAAAATTTATTTTATACTTTTCGACACTTTACTATTTTACCACATCTCTTTGTACATTTTACGACATTTTTCGACATTTAATAAAGTTCACTTTTTCGTCTTTTTCCGTTTGTATGATTTGCTAATCGAATGATAATTACATGAAAAAAATATGTTATGATAGCTATAAAATTCTGATAATCAATTTTTTTCTTTTTGTAATTTATATTTACGATTATTTACAACTCGTATCATTCATTTAGATCGTGGAAAATTTTCAAATCCCAATGGAATGGTTATTTTGATCATATTGATTTACTTGTAAATTGATATAAGATAATCAATAAATATGATTTATTGCTTATTTTAAAATATCACGTAACTCTAATTTGCACAAATATTTAAGACTAATTATTATTTTCTCTTTAGAATCATATATTAACCATTGAAGAGATTGTTTTAAGTGGATAAAATATTGCAAATTTAATCCATTCTTAGCTTTTATTTTAATTCCACTTTAAAATAGAAAAAAAAAGCATTACGCTTACTAAGCTTAATAGCTATAAGTAATATTAATTAATCATTCAACCGTTTATATTGTGTTATTTTGCTATTGCTGTTGCTGTTGTTGTTGTTTTTACAAATTACTTAATTAATTTATTTTTATTATTTTTAATTAATGAAATATTTATTGAAAAATATTTGCAATTATTTTTATGAATTATTTTAGGCTTCTTGAAAATATTATCCGATTGTAATAGCATTTCTTTAATTTATAAGTAAATTTCACTTTTTTTGTTATCTTTTTAATTTTTTAAAAAAATAGAATGAAAAGATTAATGAATCATTGATGTGACTCACAAAATTTCTCTTATTCGTTTCTTTTGTATCCTTCAATTTGTTGAAATTACAACAAAAATACTTTTCCTCTAATTTTTGCAAATTAATCATTTTCAAATTTTAATTGATAATTAATAGAATGAAATTTTTCGAAATGAAATTTCAAAACTTTTATTTCATTCATATCTGTTATCATTCTTGCAGAAAACCTTTTATCACTTTATTTTAACTAACTGTTTTGATATTTGTCGAAATAAATGAAAATGTTATTTTCAAATGTCTAAAAAAACAAAGGTATAGCTAATTTTGAATTTTAAACAGATACTATTTATGATTTTTTATTTTCATTCAATAATTTCTAATTAATAATTTTAATTAATTAAAAAATTTTCTCTTTAGCAAAATATTATTTCGATCATTCGCGTAACATTTTCTGAACTAGTTTTTTTTTATGCTAATAAATTTTTATTTTTTGAAAAACTAAAAATTTAATTATATTAATATTTTTGAATGCAATAAATCATATCATTACAGCCAGCGTTATTTTGATTATTTGAAATTGCAAAAATTTATTAGCAAATATTTAAAAATATGAAAAAATAGGAAAAGATTTGCAAATAATGTTATTGTAATTTTAAAAGATACTTTAATTATACAAAAGAAAAATTAAGGAATAATTAAAACTTTTGGAAATTTCGTTTATTTAATTTGTTTTTTAAAATAACTGCTGAAATTGAATGATCAGATTGATTTTAAAATATTTCTCTGTTGCTTCATTTCGACGACATTCAACATTTATTATGTACATAATGAAAATATCATGTGATAAAGGATATCTCAGATTAATTGGCAATTTCTATTACGGAAGTAAATTAACATTTTTAATTGCATGTAACAGCACTCTACCGAAATGCTAAATAATTTATAAATTTAAAGAAATGAAAAGATCATATTGAATGGAATTTTATAAGATTGAAAAAAGAAAAACATTTATTCCATTTCAAAGTATATATATTAATTTCCTGGCCTTAATGCTTTGTTTAAGTATTAATTTTCAAGCCTTAAGGCTTTGTTTAATCGAAATTACAATGTTTTATTTTTTAAAAAAAAAAACGGAATTAAGAATTCCTCAAAATGAAATGTGAGAAATTTATTGTTATCAATTTGTTGAATAAAATAAATTGTTAAAATGACAAAGGATTTTATCAATTAGAAACGTTCGCTTTTACTTTCTATCACACTTAATCTATTGCTAACAAAACTTTCTTAATTTTAATTTATTTTCTTTCTTTTCAAATTCATTCTATTAGCTATCTTTTTATCTTTTTTTTCTAACTTATTATTTCCTTCATTATTTTTCTTTCATCTTTGCTTCTTTTATCGTTTATCATTTCATCTTAAAATTTAAATACTTATATTGAAATTTTTATTTATTTATTTATAGATAAAATCAAAGAGAAGAAAAGTGAAATCTCAAATTTCAAATTTCAAATTTCAATTTCATTGTGAAAAGAAGGAGAAAAATGTATTGTGAAAATGATTCACCATTATTTGATGAAAATGTTTCGATTGCAATGCAAGAAGCACTCTATCAATTTCGATCGTACGTATCATTTCAATTTTCTTTAATATCTAATTTTCCTTTAATAGGAATATAAATTCATGAATAATATAATTATCTCAATTACTGTTTCTATTATTGATTAGAAAAATACTAACTTAAAATTGTTATGAAAATTTTTTCATTAATTATTACTTTATTATGGATTTGAAAAATGCTAATTTAAAATTGTCATTAATGTTTTGCCACTAATTATTACTTTATTATCGAATAGGAAAATGTTAATTTTAAATTGCCATCAAAATATTATTTCTAATTTCTATATTTTGCAATAATTGCTAAGTAAGCGGCAAAAAAAAAGAAAATCAAATTTAAAGAAAAACAAAAAGAAATAAATAATATTTATTCAATTTCAATCGATAAATAATTTTATAGAAAAATTTAATTTATGATAAAATTTCAGAACATACGATTCATTCCATCCATATGTGTGCCTTATAATTTGTCCAATGGGAATATTTGCTAATATAATCCATATTTTGGTGCTAAGTCGGCCAAGTATGTTACGATCAGCGGTTAATTGTGTATTAGTTGTTATTGCTCTATGTGATATAGTTACAATGAGTTCATATCTTCTCTATATTATTAAATTTAGATTTCTTACATCAGGAATGGGTGTAAGGTAATTAATTAATTATATTTTAAATGATATTAATAAATTACAAATTTATTATTATTTTTTTGATTAAAATTCATATAATTTTTTTTTAGAGAAAAATTTTTTTTAAACAGATTTTTTCCTCTTTTATTCAAATTTTATAGCATAAATTTAATACATTTATTTAAATATAAAGTATGAAATTAAAACAATGAAAATTATCAAAGATAATTAGAAGTTTATTTAAATACAATTTAAATTGTTGCAATTTATAAATTTCCTTTTAGTTAAATTTCAAAAAAAATCCTCAACTTTTTTCTTTTCTTTTTTTTGTAGCAAACAAATATATTAATTAATTAATTAATTAATTCTAGCAAAGAGCGAATCGAATAAAAAGAATTTCAGTATGATAGAAAAAAAAGGAAATTTAAAGTTTAAAATTTTACGAAAACAAGTAATAAACTACTAATGCGTAATTTTGTTTTAAAAGTTTTTTTGTTCAAAATTATTTATTAATATCACACAAAATTTATTACAATCAAAGTAATTAGAATATTATCATGATAACTTATCAGAACTATCATTTTTTACTTCTTTCTTATTTTCAGCTATACTTGGATAGTAATTCTTAAAATTCACGCAGTAACAACAATAGCACTTCACGGAATAACGTTATATTGTTGTGTAACATTAGCTGTCATACGATGGAGTGCATTGGGACGATCGAAAAATTCACCGTTTAAACCGATCACTTCATGGTTTGTTTGATAAAACAATTAATTTCGCTTTTTTTTAAAATAATCTATGAAATTTAAGTAATATTTGGAATAGTTTATGAAATTTAAATAATATTTTATTTCGAAATTTTCTTCTTTGATATTAATTTCTTTTGAAATTCCACCGCTAACTATATGTGCGTAATAATTTATTCACATTCTAGCCATATTGCATTATTACATTAATTCTTCATTATTTTATTTTATGGTTTATATTATTATTATTTTTTTGATTATTTTATGGTTTATTTAATAATAGTTGATTAATTGTATGAATTTATTTATGAATTTAAATTAATTACATTCTGAATTGCTTTTTTAAACTTTCATTTATTCGATTTGCTCAATTTACCTATATAATGGGAATTTTCAAAGTATTCAAACTTATTTATTATTAAAAATCTCAATAGAAATTCTTTCTATTAACATATTAATATAAAAATGGAAATAGATATTTTTCAACATTTCACAGAATTATAATTAATGAAATTAATATTAATATAAAAATAAAAGGGAGAAAGAAAGGATCGGAAAATTTCGATATAACAAAGATATTAATTAATTCAACGATTCGGCTATTACAAATTGAGCTTTACCAAAAACTTAAATTTGACACCTTTTGTTTTATTTAATTTAAATTTAAATCCAAATTTTTCTTTTTCAATTTTTAAATGAATAAAGAAAGCACAAACAACAGCTCAATTGCTCGCTAATTTCTATTAATTGTTCATTTACCTATGATTTACCTATCTCTCAAATATTATCAAACTATTATTCTTCCATTCATTCTTATCATTATTATCATTTGCTAATATTTATATTTTGTTAATTTTCTCATCATTCTTTATCTCTCTCGTATTCTTTTAATGCACCCTCAAATATTGCTAATTCTTAATTCTCTTCATTAGCATACTATTTCTAATTAATACATAACATATCATTGCCTTCATTATTGCAAAATGATAAGATTTATTTTCAATGCAAATTATGATAAGTGAAATTCTTTTTTCTTATTGTAAAATGAACTTTTTTAATTGGTAAAGTTAGCATTTAGGTGTACGACAGGTATTATTGCAATAATTGTGTCAGCTATTTGCATTCCAACATTTTTGGTGCATGAAATCAAAATTGTGTGGTAAGTATTTTTATGTGAAGTTTAAAACTGAGTAGATTTAAAATATCACTGGAATAATTTATAATTGACAAATGTTTTTTTAGAAAAATCATCAAAACAGTAAGATTTGTAAGTTGCCTAAATAATTACTCGAATACTCAAATAATTGATATGGAAATCAGAGAAAGATGATAATGATAAGCTAAATAAATGATAAACAATCATTTGAAATGCAATGTACAAGATAATCGAAGATAATAAATAATATCACAGAAAATTATGACCTAATAATATTTAGTATTAAAGAGATCATTAGACGGAATATTTTAAGATTTTAAAATTTCGACTTTTTTTTTACATGGATGAAATACAAGGTTAATATGGTTAGGTCTTAATAATGCAACTGTCATTAAGAGATAAAATAAAGAAACTCTTCCTTTAGGGTTGACGATGAACAATTACTTTATACAATTGATATATCTGATTGGGCAATACATGATAGCTGTAAATATTTTAAACTTAATTTATGGATTTTAGGTATTGCTTTAAAGGTTCGAATTTTTTTCATCTCTTTTTTGAAATATGTTAATTTCGTGAATTTCTTACGTTTCATACGATAATAATATAACACTTAAAATACAATGCATGAAATATTTCAATGATATTTCAACAAAATTATTTAGAAATTAACTTTTACATATTTTTATTTTTCATGGAAGAATAATTACTTAATTATCATTTTAAATTAAACTTAAAATAATTAGTTAAAAATTAAAATTATATTAAAACATATTTGTATGTCAGCAATAAACAATAATATTAAAAGGTCAACTGGCAACAATAAATAAGAGATTAATGTCTCATTTGCAGGCATTGCCTTGTTTCTTGTTGTGTTGCTTCACAATTCTGTTGGTATTTCGATTAAGGAATAATTTGAAGAGAAGACAAAATTTAATTTCTCGAAAATATTACTTTTCTGTTGATTCAGAAGGTAGAAAGAGTAATAGTATTACAAATAATGCTGCTGCAAGGAGAAGTAAACGAAATTATGATCGAACCACTCTTACACTTGTCGTTATGCTTTCCGTCTTTTTGGTGAACTATGACCTTTTTATTTAAAACTTACATACTAAATTTTGGCTTTTAAATAATTTAAAAGTTCAACAAAAATTAAAACTTAGTCAATTTTTATTGTTGTAAAATGAAATTGAACTTTTTAAAGTAAAATTCGAATGATTTTAATTTATATTTAATTAATAATATTATAGGTGACAGAATTACCGCAAGGTGTATTAGCGATGTTAAATGCATTACATACCAACGATGTGCATACTATTTTGTATTGGAATTTAGCAAATTTATTAGATTTATTATCACTGATAAATTGTTACGTTGGCTTTATAACATATTGTTTCCTAAGCTCGAAATATCGTCAAATCTTTATTATTACGCTTGTTAATTCGTAAGTTAACCTTTTTCTTCCCTTTTGTTATCGTTTAAAAAAAGTTTTAACATTTTTAAATTTGTAACAAATGTTGAACTGTTAGCTAAGTTTTGTATTGAATTAATCAAAGATGAAATTATAGAAGGAATGTGATTTCTAAAATTGAATTTTGTAATGTGACAGAAAGAATTTGATTTCTAAAATTAAATTTTTACAATTATTTTTAAGCAAAATATTAGGGAAAAAATTTTACATCAGAAATTACAATTTTAATAAATCAAAAATACGATTACTAAATGTATTCATACTAATTTACATTTTAATTCTTGAAATGATTTTAGGAGATTGAATGGCAAAGCATTTTTTCAGCCGATTCGCACATTTTACAACAATATTAAAATCTTGATAACCCAAAGATCAGAAAGTGGATTCAATGTGATACATATGCATACTTAATCATTTAGTAATCAAAGTGCTTTCATATTTAAAGCTATTCAGATATGTTAATTGTAAATTAATTGCATCCTCAAAGTGATCAAATCACAACTTTAAATTTGCATTATCCTTCAAATTTTCAATTTCTCAAAATATTATAGTAGCAATTTTGCTTAATTCCTCATTTATGATATTAATAAAATAAATGAATCAATTATTTGCTATGATAATTACACTTATCAGATCAAAGGAACAAGAAAATTCATTTACCATCTCTATCATTCTTTCCTATGCAATCCTAATCATAATGCTTACCTGTAATATCTGCATTTCTATTTTCTATTCCTTATCTACCTATTCCTATCTATTCCTTATCTATCATATGATTTCATTTGTTTTTTGAATCGATTAATGATTGGACCTTTTGTATTATTCAACTGTCACTTTCTCTTTTTAAGCTATTCAATCTGCTCTATCCCTCTTTGTCATTTTTATTGCTTAAATCAATGTTGTAAATCGTGGGAATACCATATATATTAATTCGATTTAATGGAAAATTTGATTTTTAGCTATGCTCAAATAGGTTGACTGACATCATCTCCGTTGCACAGAACAAAATGAAATTTTATAAATTCAAAGTACTATTTATCATACTTTCTATTTACTTCCCGGTAAAATAATCGTTGTTGTTCCGTCAGAATTACAATCAATCACAGTTTTAACTTCGTATGTATCTGTTTAATTCGGTTGCTTAAGCTGAAATGAAAATCAATCATTCGAAAGAAATTGAAATTATAAGGTGACAATATCTACGGTCATTTCTTTTTTGTGGAAGATGTGGAATATATTATAGGCTGGTAATAAGTTTTTCAATATCTCTTAATGATTCTGCTAAAATAAAACAATTATTTCAAATAAGCGTACGAAAAATCATGCAGTTATAGGACTAGTCAGATGCAATCATTCCTATTTATCCATTTCGAAGAGCTATTTTACCGGTCAGTAAATTCACTTCATTAAACAGTGATTTCGGATAAATTATTGCTAGACAAGTTGTATGAAAAATAATAATACTGATTAATAAATTCTGATAGACAACAAATGATGGCGATAATTAATAAATGCATTATCCCTAATTACTAGTCATATGGTTGGTTGTCTAATAAATAAATTATCAGGGTATTTCTTCCAAAGAAATCATTTATCATCAGTTTACATATGTTATCAGAATCACATCTGCTATTATCATCACTCAAATAGTCTTTTGGGCTATCACTGTTACTATTATGAAAACATCATTGTTCGGTTTCACCGTATACCATGAAACATAAGTAGATTGCAAATAAGTTGTCTGAAAGTAGTACACTGAGAGGTGCACTTTGAGTTGCTGCCAATGTTGAAATCATAAAAATTGATGATTCGGTCTCGATGAAATCATCTGAAATTTAAGATTATAAATTTGGTTTATTTTATATTTTATGTATAGTCGATATCATCACTGTTATTATCATTATTTGAACGATTTGTTGTGTTACCACTTCTACTGCTATTATTAAATCATTATGTCCTTTCACTATGCCATGAAACAATTGTAAATTGTGAATAAATTATTTGAAAATATATCAAGACGTTCTTCCTCAGTTGTTGTCATTGTGGTCATTCTGAAAAAGAGGCCTTCGTTGTTTTTAGTTACTTTGATGCTTGGATAGAAATGCCTAATTGGGACATTTTGAATAGATCAATAAATGTGTTGTATCCTCCATAAATGAAATTAATTCAACAACTTAACCAATCGAAAAAAGGAGAACTTGAAAAATCTATTGCGAAGAATTAACGGATCCGTTAATGTATGAAATATTTAACACTTACTATAGTAGTATCAGGTTTTGCGAATATCGGTGATGGAACACAATGAACTAAAAGATAGTCCGTATTTTAATTTACTTAAGATTAAAACAAATATTTTTATATTTGAGTAACAGTATCAATAAAGCACGGTTGTAATAGAATCTTCTAGTTGTTTAACAAAAGAGAGCACGCAGTAAATAAGAGGTCAGGTCAGGTCATTCTAGTGGCATTCGTTTATAATATATGTAGTATGCATTTGTTGTATACATACACTGACAATTAACAAAGAATTATTTGAATCGCAATAAATAAATGGTTGGTATAAGAAGTTATTAGATATTAATTCTCTATAATATTTCTTAGAATATTTGAGGGAAAAGATTTCTATAATATAAATAACACGAGCATGAAGATTAAATGATTATTTAAGATATAAGTCATTTCGCTTTCCCGTTACCCTTATTTATATCTCTTCTCCAATCTTATCATCTCTTAGTACCATTATATTAACAAAGTTGTCTTGAAAATCTTTCATAATTCGTAATTTTGAAAAATTGTTGAAAATATGCCTAAATATTCATACTTTATTCATATTTTAACAATGTATGCATTTCTCTCTGAAAATGGAATCTGTAATGCTTCGTGTATTATAGGACAATGATGGTAATTAAACGGTGATGGTAATTAATTCCTTTTCTTTTTCTTTTTTCTTTTAACATAAATTGATTACAATGAACAATAAGTTTACTGGAAGCACATCAAATTTCAAGACTCATCGTCAAAACATATCGTTTTCAGTTTGAAATTGCACTTCAAACCGCTTCGAAGAACGGTGAGGAGATTAGCGGAAGCCTTGAAGGGCGAAATGCCCAAGCAGAAATGGAAGAAGTACCGGTATCTCAGCGTTTCGTTGAATTTCCGGGTAGTTTGGATTGACTATATTTATTTCGTTACATAAAAGAAAAATTCGTTATCATTTTTATTCCCCTACGATCATAAATTCCAAAAATGATAACGAAAAATAACGAATTATTTGTTATCATTTTTGGAATTTATAGTCGTAGTCGAACCAGGAATATCTTTATTGTAAGATGAAACAGCACCGTACTGTGAGAATCTTTACAGTGGAAATAAGTTTCTCATTTTGCAATTACCTTCGATTAATAAACCATTAAAAATTATGGCAGACAACATTAATTAAACAAATGTAAAACTTAATGTTGAACGAGAAGTAGTAAACTGTATCTCTTCTTTACGACTTTCAGTAACGTTCACATTTTCAATACTTTCTTGGCTGTTATAATGAGTTGCAAAACTTATTGGTTCATAGATAAATTCAATCCAATAATGTGAAGTTTTATTTTGTCCATAATTTCAATCCAACGACTTAGCTTTTCTAAGTTGTGTTTTCATTTGCAGTGATTGTAGGCTTTTGCTTAGTTCTTATATCATTGTGTCATCAGAATATGTCGTATGTAAATCACTGTTTCTGCCATCAGTAATATCCTTCGGCTATCACTTTAATTTATTTTTGAATAAATGTAAAACTACAGGACCGTTTAGGCAGACTAGTTTGAGTCACTGCAAAATTATGCGAATATTCACAATATCAAAATGAGATCCAAAAGCACCCATATTACTCACAAAGAAAGCAAACTAGCGCAAGCTATTTGAAAAACAAAAAAAGGAATGACAAGAAAAGGATAAATGTGCATAAATGATACTTTTCAGAAATTTACAGTACAGAAATCAGAAAGCCGGAATAGTGGTTCAAATGCGAATATTAGCAATTTAAATTCTAACAGTCCAAAATTGCTAGAAAATTGACGTGAAAACCACGAAAAAAATTTTTTGATGAAAAAATTAAGCTAAACCTGCACAACCAAATGTAGATGTTTCATAACCGTAAGTGGCAAAAGAAGAGATATGAAAAAAAGTTATTCAGATCTCATAAAATTGGAAACAAAAATAGGAAATTTGCGAAGAACACGAAGTTTTCGAAATATCAAAATATTTAGAAAAGTGCTGGTAATTAAAGAATCCAATTTCTGCAAACTCCTTCCTTATTGTAATCTACTTCTCGAATAAAAAATTACGCTTGGAAACAGAGATCGAAATTCGACAACAGAACAGTGATTTCAAATAAAAGTCAGTTTGGAAACTTACGTACCATCCATGTAAAACATGCACATACGAAATAGAAGTACTTAGGACAGAGAAAATATATGTTTTACATACATGTGGCATATTAAATTTCACAGAGTTGTATGGTTTAAAATTCTATTTGTATGAAATGTTAGGTTTCATAGGGTTATATATGTATGTTTCATTAAATTACAAATAGAATTACTTGGAAAATTTTGTCTGCATAAGCAATCATCCGGATCAATGATCAATAATCAAAATTTTTCTGGAATCGTAAACGATCATAAACTCGGAGCAAATTTTAAACGGATACACTAATCTCTGTCGATTCGGTTCTCTTTTGCTCCACATTTAAATTACCGAAAAGTGATTCGAATGCATTTTTGTAAGCTACAGAATGAACACCTTGAAGTCGATGAATTTCAGTGTTTCTTTCTTCTTTCTATAACAAATTTAATGTAACAAGTCAAATTTATACAATGCTACCATGAAGTGCTATCCAAAAAAAGTATTGTCCGGTGAGGTTATCAGTCACTGATTGCATTAGAAAAAGATATCCTCGAAATCATCAAAAGAAGTCACAAAAATTCATTCATAAATTAAAAATGTGCTACCTTTCGATTATATGATGCAACACTTTCAATGTTTTCAAAAAGTGAAGGCCATTCTTTGCCTCGATGATATTTGTTACAAAATCGATGTATGTCAATTTTTAGCTGCAAACAGTAAGAGGTATCAGCAAAATAAACATAAGGAGCTATATTTGTAAGCTTCTCAAATTCGGAAAAAAATTTTCGTAGTCTAAAAAAGTATAACTTCTACAGGCAATAAAAGAAGCAAAGAAGTTGGTCATAAACAACAAATCATTGCAATTACTATCAACAACTTCAGTGTGAAGTTGTTGATAGTAATTATATATATTACAATGATTTGCATAATTAGCAATGAAATCGAATGAATATACAATTAGGAGACTTGGCATTAGCTGTGTACAACAAATAAAATTGTGCACTTTTGGTGATATTAAGAGAATGTAAGCAGTTCAACAGATTTCCGATATGATCAGGATCAGAATTCAGAAGACTTACATTAGCAATCCTTTCATTTATGTGGACAATTTTTCCAAAATGCTTTTTTTTCTCCAGGTTCTGCTTTGATTTTGGCTGTGATATATCAGTAACATATGGAATTTGATAAAATCTTGAATCCTAAAAATTCATATAATTACTAGACTTTTCATTATTGAAATCTTTCATTAACTTATATTTAACAATAATAATTTTGATAAAACTAACCGCTAAAATATTTTCCGCTCTTCTGCATAATTCATCCAATTCATCTTTTTTCGAAACTTGCACTGACAACAGAGTTAACGGGCCACCTATATCTGATGGAATCGTTATTGGATCCATTACATTCAACATTTGCATGTTTTCGCTTGCCTTGAAGCAGCAAATTTCTAATTGATCAATTGAAATCTTGAATCAATAGGGATTCAATTTTTTATCTTTGTTCCAGTGATTTCTTCTTCTTTACCCGCAGTTAAACCGCTGATTACCCAACTCATAATTAAAAATAACTGAAACAATTTTAAATGATATGAACAAGATACAATATGAAATAAACCCTCCAGATATAATCATTCTCTGTCATACCATAGAAGCAAGCTATAAATAAAATGATATAAATATTGTCCAACTTTAAAATTAAAACTGCTACTGAGGATACTCGAATGGCCAAATTGCCAATCGATTTCCATCCACTGCTGACTTAATTATAGGAAAGAAATACAATTATGCATTAACTTTCCCGAAAAAAGATTACAATGTCAGTCGTCAAATATTGGTTATTTAATTGTAAAAAAAATGTATATCAACCTCAACTATATCCTCAACACATTATAAATCAAGGATAGGATTATCTGATCTCCACCTCTCAGCATATAACATGGTTTCAATACAACTCTTACAATCATTTTCTTTCCACGAATATTGCTGCATGTCTGTGTTATATTTTAATTGAATTTCTTTTTAAAATTTTAATCAGGTAGGAAAGAACTTTAAAAGAACAAAAAACATTACAAATCACTGTTTGTTTACATTGTTTGACACAAGAATTACAAGCAAAAAGAAAAGAGCTTGATAATACCTTTAACTGTCGAATGTGTTGACAAGCCCATTCCAATGCTAATTTTGTATCTTTCAATTCACTTTCCAGATAAGTCACTTCACTGAATTGTTCAGGAGTAGACGGATTGGAATCGATTGGTGTAACCATCGTTTGCATTTTGGGATGATTTATGACCAAATTCATGGTTTGTAGCTGCTAAAAACAGAACTAAGTTTTATAACTTCTTCATTATAATTTTACAAAAACCTTTACCTTTAAATGTCACTACTGCTCATCCTAATACATATTTCACCGTATTAAAATTTCTGTTCCCCTTGTTCAAAAAGCATCCACAAATCAGCTAAGAAAGAATAATCTATTACTTTACTCAAATTCTTATCAGAAAGAATAGCCAAGTGTCGAAGAATAACTTTAGTAGCTGAAAAAAAAAAGAAAATCATAATCCAACAGTATGAACCACTTACAGAGAACTTCCTCTTTGAAAAAGTTAACTTTCCTACCTTTTTTGATAATAATATCGCTAAAATATAGCAAACTCCATTGGAAGTCGTCACATGCGGCTTTCCTAGTGAATATGTAAAAGGTAAAGTTAATAAATGTAACTACTACACTCCAAAAAATACAATAAAAGTTGATGAATATAACACATACATCCAACAATACTTTCTTATTGATAGTTCTGGCACTGCTTCGCAATTCGCAATTTTCTTTTTCACGAACGTCAATTTCATGTCGCAAAGTTTCTAACATATTTTCATATTCCCTGCAAAAAAAAAAATAAGTAAATAAGTGAAAGAAATAAAAATAAATGAATAACAGAAGAGTCATTTCATAAAAGAGAATGTAAAGTTACGAAAACTTCAAAGTCTTACAAAATATGTCACTCGAACCAGACTCCAAACATGATTTAATAAAGTGATTTCCTGGTACAGAAATGTGATGACATTTTTGAATATATGGCGGGTAGCTTGAAATTTTATAGATAAAACTATATCTTAAAATATTTGTAGAAAACATGACACTGCGATGACTAACAATCAAACTAATAGTTTATAAAATATAACTTCCATTTCGTAAAGATAATTATTAAGATTTATTTCAAAAATTAAAAAACTCATTTCATACGGAAAGAAAAAAAGTAATAAAAGCGAAGAAGAGACATGAGAAAAGTAACTACCACCTAGTATAATATGTAATGTTTGTTTTCATTAGTGAAATGTTTCGACAAGGCCTCAATGCTCGAAGTCTTAAAACAAAAATAAAATAGAAGAGAAGAGAAGATAAACTGTCTTACCAAGAAATAAAATTCCTCTTCACTTTTGTATAATACTGCCGGTATTTCTTAGTGCCAAAAAATACAAGAACATGTATACAACTATTCTATATTCCAAATATTCGCTTTTTTCCGGCCATCACAATGACTCTAGTTACTAATTCATTACAGATTGAATTCTTTTATCAATTCAGTAGATTCATTTGGTTTACATAGATTTCCTCATCATAATACCTCTGTAATCTGGGAACTAACATTTTTGCTTTCATCAACTGCTCGCGTAAATCGTCATTTTGCGAATACAATTTTTGCATTTCAGTTTCATCAATTCTTTCCATTGATTCTATTTTATTTTCAGCCATTTCTAAACGTATCTGAAAGAAAATGCAAATACATAAACACAATTCAGCTGAAAACTTCTTATTAGTAAATATTGTGCGTTGCTATACTGGAGTATATGAATCAAATATAAATCTCAATTGAATTCAACTAAATCACTTCGATATCTCTTTGCATTTTTGCATATTGGTAAATAACGAGCATCAATAAAAAAAAAGACAGTATAATCTTTTAAAAAAGCTGGACATACCTTGTAATTGCTAATATCATCAAGCTTAGCTCGCAGATTCATTTTCAAATCTATTATTTCATTTTCCTTTTTTTCCAAATTCCAGCGAAGTTTCTCCACTTCCAGAGCCTCCTGTTTTCGAGCATTGGCTCGTTCCATAAGCGGAGATGAAAAAGACTACAAAGTAACTTTTGTTACACAATAAAAACAAGTTAGACATCCTTCATAATCAAAACTTGTGTATTAAAATTAACACTGGAAGCTTAAATTGTAAACTCAATTGCCCTTTTTAAATTATACGTAGGACAAAAATGATGAAAATTCCAACAATAAAAAGCATGAAGCGGACAATGCATTTGATCAAATCAACACTTACGACAGCAAGAAAATATATTTCTATTCAGAAGCTAAGCAAAATGCTGATTTACTACATTTATCCTAATATTGAAGAAAAATCAGGCAAAGATCATGTCTCGACATAAACAAACCTCATCCGCTGAATTGCTCGGTAGTTTCTGATTATCAAACTTGTCAATTAAATCAGTGGTAACACTTTGTACAGCTCTCATATATTCACTGAAGTTTTAAAATTAATTGTTTTCAAACTCCACAACTTTATTCTTCTTTGCTAACATCAACATACTCTCCCCTTTATCCTTTTTCTATTGCACGCCAAACACATGTCCATTGCCATTTTTCCCTACGTCAATTTTTACTTCCATGTTCTTCTCCCTATTATTTATGGTATTAATCATTCAATTTCACGAACCTTATTTCTTAGATGAAATACGATACAAAGAAATTACGGAAATCATAATATTCGGTCCTTCATTCTATCTTTCATCCTACTTTCCACTGTATGCAGACTTACTTTATAATCTTTGTAGCTTCATCTCCATTTAAAGCGCCATGCACTTTTTCCACGGAATATAAAAGAGCTTCTTGAACACAATTTTCTTCCAAACCCTCGACTTCTAAAACAACTGTTTTCAAAAATGAACAAAATTACTTTATTCAATTCAATTTATTGAGAATCATCCGTTTTACTGCAGGAGGAAGATAGATCTTTCAAACAGAAACCAAGAAAATCTCCCAGTAAAACTGCAGATGTAAGCCAAGTTCCTTCCAGTTTAATTATAAGAATTTCTCAATAATCCAGAATTAAACATTTTCACGTAATTCTCTAAACGATAACAATCATGGATAAATATCAAGCTCCAAAATGCTAAATAAGTTCTACCAAAAAGAAACCTGTAACAGTGCTCAATTGAATACTTGTAATACTGCACATACAGTCAAATATTAAAGCTAAATTTTTAAATGACTTGTTCCAATTTGCCAACTGAATTTGCAACTGAAACAAATCAATACTTCGTAGGAAAAGCATGGATGGAAAATAAAATGTTGAGAATTCTAAAATCTGTAAAATTTTGGTCGAAAAGTTGCTCAGAAGAAAAGTAAATTAAGATCGCAATAAAATAAAAACAAACATCTTGAGTGAATATTAAGTTTCCGCCAATCGAGATCCGATTTTTCAAACGTGTGCAAAGCTGCTCACATTTCTCCGCCCATATCAATACCGATTCCATGTACTTGTTAGTACTGCTCTCATTAGTAAATGACTAAAATTATAATGGAAGTGAATAATAAACAAAAAGACTCTCTATCAGTGGTTAGAATTATCGATCATTAACTGATATCAAAGAAAATGTCACATGAAGAAAAACTTACAAGACTAAAGATAACACGCTGGGCATTGATTTTCATCCAAAATAATCCTTGAAGAAGCTGTACGCAAGTATCTAGGAATAATTGTTTCACATCATACCATTCTCGAGAAAAGTGAATAGATAATATATTCTGTAATGGTGGAGGTTCCAACATTATTTCAACGATTAATTGTGGAGTTTGGTAACTAACTGTGCCATCAATCGAAAATATATCCCTTCAGAATTTGTAATAATTTTTTTGAAACCAGAATCACTCAGACTTTGAAGACGACATTATCATATTATGTACTGTAATATGACAGCGTCGTCTTCAAAGCACAGTAAGTAATTCCGATATTCGAGTGCAAAAATCATGCAAACTTTTAATTTTAACACACCAGATTAGATTGAGATTAAGAGAAATCGTGTTTACAGTAGTATAATACGATTGTCCTGAATTTTTTGATGCTCTTATGCACATCAGAGTCATTCCATTTTTGAGATAAAATATTGTCAAGATACATAATAATTGTCAAACAACATACACTTTAACAGGGTCCAAAAAAAACTCTAATTTTTCGTAAATATTTTGGTTTCCAAAGTGCTAAAATTGAATTCTTTATTTTTTAAACCAATCTTCTAAATTTGTGTATCAAGCATTGTGAAAAAGAAATGAACCTCTAAATAACTGATTGCTTTATTAACACTGTCAGTCGAAGTGTTTTCATCAAACTTATCCCTCCTAAGTAAATCAATGTATTGATCAATAATTCCTTCCTCTCTTGCAATATCACTTTGCAGCAGTGCTAAACGTGACAGTCGCTCCATTGTACATCGACGCACTACACTAAAACACTTCGTAATATCTGTATTTATCTAACATCTGCATATGACAAGTTTTAAATGCATCAATGCAATCTAAAAACCTAATCAACCTAAATCGAAACCTAAAGGAGCGCTGCTTTGAGGGAAACCCAAGAAAGTTTACCTCTCACACTGCTGAACAGCACAGCCGAAATTGCTTAACAAGAATGAAAACTTCGCACAATGTGCCCACTGTTCCGCCTTGTGACTTCTCGTAACGTGCTCACGACGTATTCCTCCAGGTGCAAATGGGTACTTTAAAAGTGTATTTCAAAGTTTTGTTGAAATTCAATAATAAAAATAGTAGAAATCTAAAAAAATAGAAACAGAAGTCTAAATTGAATTGATACTATACACATACAAGCGACATCTGGTAATACCTTAAGATTCAGTAATTTTATCAGCATAGCTGCTTTAGCAGAAAGACGGGAGCAGACAATAGTCAGCAGAATTGCATCATTGTCTCCTGAAAGAAACTTTCAGGCCACACAAAAATTTTTAACGTTGAGGAGGGAACCTGTTTCAATTCCAACTAACCTCCAGGTTTTGAGAAATTATCGGGCAGGAATGCTTTTAAATAGTTTGACAATTCAATTTCATACTTCAATTCCAGGGCACACACTTCTCTATCTACAATCTAAAATTATTTGAAAATTAATTTCTGAAAACTGAAAAAGTATTTGACAAAAATTTTCACAAAAGTTAAATCATATAAAAATTTTACTTCAGCAAATGTTCGACTAGTTGTAGTAAGTTGCACACTTTGCACTGACATTATATTGTTATCCTTCTCCCCTTTTAGTTGCTCGTTTAGGCTAATGACCTGAAATGGAACACAGTGATGAATAAGGTCTCATTATTAGTTTATCAAGGTAAAAATATAAACAGGAGATATATTATTTCTGCATTTTTCCAACCCTCGAAGAGCAAATAATGATTAACTCATATATATATATATTTCCTGCATATTTTGCAGCAATAAAAATCTAGTGATTCAGCAATTAAGGTTTAGGTGAACTGTTCTTACCGGATAGCTGCCCTGAGCTATTTTATTTTCATAGATAAGAAGCAAATTTCGAGCAGTTCAAAAGAAATTTGAAACTTACTTCATCTTGCCTTTCCTGAATTTCTTCATTCATTTCACCAATTTTTCGTCGAAATTTCATGATCATTTTTTCATATTCATTCACCTGTTCGCCATATACTTTGATTTGAACCAGAAGCTAGAATAAGAGCAACAAAAAATTCTCAAAAAAGTAACTGTTTATGTTTCTCAAGTTTCCAAACCAGAAAAAAATCACTTGGAATTAAAAACTCATAGTCATATACCCACATTACTAATCCGGGTATTTGTCAAATCCAATTCCTCTCGAAGTTCTTTCTCAGCTTCTTTTTGTGTTTCAAGAATTTCTTCATCCATTGATCTGATCGCTTCATAATCCTCGACGGTTTCTTCTAGCGTGCTGCAAATTTTCCTGATGTTTTTTTTATTGAAATCATAACAAATCTACGAGATTCAGTGAACAATACGGATGAGTGAAGCAATCTGAGAAAGCTTTTTAACTTTTTGATAACAGCTTTATAATGAAAGCAAAGTCTAAAAACACTAATTCAAATATGCTAACCTTAGCTTTTTTTCTAAATCCATATTTTTTTCTGTCAAAATTTCAATCATTTTCTCACTCCCTGCTGTCGCATCAATCTAAAAATAAATTTCAGAACAAGCATGTATCCCACACATCAATATAGCCCGAAACAAAGATAAGCCATCCTATACTAATAACAACAGTTTCCAAAAATACTATAGGGACAGAAGCACAAGTGAACGCCACAAGCAATGCGCTGAGGAAAAAAAACAATCAGAGAGGGAATTCCAGTATGAAATTTGGAAAAGATTACCAGTAAAGTGAAAAAAAGACATGCACACTTACCCTTTCACTTATATCAACCAACTGTAACAATGATAAGATTTATAAGTAAATTTTGAAAGGCATGCACAAAATATAATTAGTTGGCAAAAGCATGAGATGCCCAAAAACTTAGAAAAAATTACCACAAAATTTAAAAAATTATATCCTACTAACCCGCTCTTTCAGTATAATTATTGCCCGCTCGGCTTTTTGAAGTTCATTTTTCAAATTTTCACAAATTCTTACTACTGAAGCCGACTCATTTCTCAGCGTTTCATTTTCTTGCGTCAGTTCTCTTTTGTCTTCCGCTAATTGACCGATAACATCGCGCATTCTAAAACAAGATATCCCTGATAAAATTTGTGACAACGAATCACTGATGAAGTCCAAAATCCAAACAATAACACACAAACTGAATCCTGAATTGATGAAGCTGATTCAGTAAATTGAACTTCGTCAAACTTACCTCACTATTGCTTCCCGCAATTTCATGTTCTGACATTCCAACATTTTGAACTGTATCCCATCACCCTTTAACAAAACATTCATTTCTAAAGTACCATCTTGAAAGAACAACGCCTTCAGATCTCATTAACTAATCACCCTATCCTTCTTTTGAAACTGCGAATCTCAGCAAAACAATATGAAATCCGAACAATTTTAGCAAATAATTAAATTCAACTAAGGTTCGTTAGTTGAATTTAATTGTTTGCTGAGATTCGTAATATCTTAGCTTGCACATTATGCAAAATAAACTTTCACGTTATGCATTATACAGTAATCATCAAATGCAGCAAAAAACAATAATGGGAAAAGCAGACCTGTGATACATCGTCTCCTTTTCGCCCTATTTCACTCCTCAACAAGTCTAATTCTATTTCCAGTTCTTGTACACGTTGCTTCTCGATTTCAATATCTGCCTTCAAAGATAGTCTTTAAGACTATCTTTCTTTAAAGAAATTTCGCTATAAATTAGTAGTTAAATTTGAGCATTTACTCTAGATTAACGATTAAGTTAAGCTCTCAAAATCATCAGCAAACAAACCTGAAGAAGATCTGCCTTCTCTTCAGCCATTTCCTTCTCAACTGCAGTCATTTCGAGTCGTTCCTCAAGTTCTAATAACCGCTGAAGTTTTTCTTCACTTGATTTTGACAATTCAGCCAATTCCTAGATAAAATCTGCCTTTTGGAACCTTCGAGAATATTCCAATGAAAAGAAATAAAGAGGGTCTTATAGCTATTCTTTTTCTCCACTGAAGTTCAAATGTAAAGTACATATATTTTATAAGAAATTTAAATTTTCTAGAAATTTTAGGAAAAATTTCAGAAATTTGAGATTAACTAATAGATTTCCTTTATTGATTCTTGTTTCCATTTTACATTCGAATTCAAGCCGATATGTCAAATTTTAGACTTAGCGTTGCTTTAAAGCTAAAATTTCCAATATATATCTTCAACATTACTAAATTACATTTTCATGGCGCAAAAAAATGCCATGACAACAACTGGAAGAGTAATTTACACTATTACCTTTTCATTTTCCAATAATTGTCGTTGTAATCTCAAATTGCTTTCAACCAATTTAATTTTAAATTCGCGCAATGCTTCCGACTCAGCAATATTTCTTTCATATTGCATAAGTTTCGGATAATCATCTTTTTGTTCCTGCCTTGAAATTTTTGGAATTTATCACAAAAAAGTTACTCGAATTTGCCAAAGAAATTTGGTAAGCTTATTCCATATAGTAAAATTTTCATCAATGAGAGTAACAACGATATTTACTGGAGATTTCGAAAAAGAATTTCAGTGTGGGGATTCCGAAAAAGAATTTCATTCGATGAAAAAAAACTTTTACCAAATCAAATTTTGACATAAGGATAGGAAATTGTCACCTATATTACACACTCTATATTTATTTTTAATCTTCAAAAGAGAAAAAAGTGTATAAAATCCTGCTTTGAGAATCAGACTGAAAGATCACTAGTAAAATGAAAGTGATACTGAGTATATTAATTACTTCAATATTTCTAGTTTTCCCGTCAAATCTTTGCTTTCAAGCAATTCGATCTCATTCTTAATTTCGTCCATCAAAATTCGATCTTAAAATATTTGTCTGAAACATTAAATAATTCAGAATGCATAGTGCACTGAAGAGCACAATTGAACAATTCCATGGAAAGATTGGCATGACTGGATAATTTTATCCAGAGAATAAAAAATAATTTAAAATAAGTTTTCTTTTTTGACTTTTATCCTCAACAACTGCCAATTAATAAAACCTTTTGCTTGTGATGTTTTACCAGTGGAAAAGAAAAGACCGAGTTTATTGATGTGATCAAAAATACCAAAATAGCATAGCTTTAGTATTCATAACCAAGGAAGAAAAGTAGTTAGCAATAGATAATGTAAAATAGCTAGCCGATAACAATAGTATGTCTTATCAGAAAAAAGTACATAATATCAGTGTCAATCGATTAAAAATTTGTAAATATTAGAAAAAATCAATAAATAAACACAATGAATTAAATTAGCTTCAATTATCCGATGGGAAGTGTGTAATAAAAAAACGTATGGAACATATATATAATAATTGAGAAGTAAATCATTCTAAAGCAATAAGCAATGAGTAAAATCTACAATATAATCTCTATAATCTATAATATAATTTGTAAAGTGCAGAAAGTAAAAGGCATAAGTACTGAAGAAAAAGATTGCACCTTATTACAAAAAAATAAAATACCAATAAATAAATCTTATACGAGAAATATAATTAAGTATGTAAGAGAAATATGAGTAAAAAGTAAGAAAAATATAAGTAAAAACAGGTAAAAAAAAAATGAATTCATTTCCATCCTTTAAAATGCAAGCTGCTAACAATAACGCCAAATCAATAAATGCAATCCCTTAAAAGGAAACAAGTATCCATTGGCCAAAAAGTTGATAATGCGTCAAGTTTGCATCCTGATATCACGTACTTTTTTTCACGGACCGCTGTTGGTTAGCGTAAATTGAGTTGCGTTGCTATAGTAAGGAAGACGTGAAAATGTTAGCGTAAGTAGTAATTGATAGTAATTGAACTTATAAGTATGTTCTTTGAAGAATCTCTTCATATATTGCTCGAAAAAAGCAAAAATATAAACAAAAAAAAAGGAAAAACTAAAGTTAAAGAAATTTGCAAACATTTAGCAAAAGTTAATCAAAAGTATCGGGCTTGATAATATCGACGATAATAAGGTGTTCTAAATTATATTGATAAAAAGCTAACGTGTATAATGTGACATCCGTTCATCGTTTATTTAGCAGAAAAAACATTTGTGTTTTGAAATTTTCTGATACTTTTTTCTATTGTTGCAAATAACTTAGCTATGTAGCGATTTTGATGTTTTCATCAGTTTATGTATGCGAAATGTTCTTATTGAATATTGAATATTTCAACTTCAATAATGATATGCTTCCATAACATATTGTTATTATTAGATGGTAGTTGCGTCAGTATTATGTTTTTCTAAATTATATCATGTGATACTCTAAGCAGAACAGGTAGCGAATGGGGCGAAATTATGAATTACATGAATTAAGTATAAATTTTTCATCTAGACATTAATAGAATCGGGGATTGAAGGAAGAGAAATGTATGTTTGTCTTACTCGAAAATATGTTAATATTTTTGTTGTCAATTTAACACCAAGCATCTTCATTTAAATCATTTGCGTATCATTTCATGCTCAAGCACTGTTTTCATTTCAGTACGTGAAAAAATTCAAGTACTCGATCTAGGCTACTAATTAACTTCGGCGGTGGTACTGTAGGTTCTCCATCCTGTTAGTGGCAAAATGAACAACATCAATTCGCTTCCGGTACGTTTTGAGATTTCTTTTTTTGAGGAATATCCACATTCAAATTCCCAATTCCAACAGTACCGAAAGAAAATTATCGTCTGTGTAATTAGCCGGAATACCTTGTTCTATATTAAAATATTTCATATTACATACCAAGTAATTACGAAGGTAGGAGCTAGAAATGAAACAAGCAAACATTGACGAGACTAAAGGGAATCTCTGCACTAACATTTTCACGAGCATACGGGATCGTTGCTTAGCTGAAACTATGAAGTAGCGATTTATCGCTTAAAAATATGTTCATATGTTTGAAGTTAAGCTTGTTCTGCGGTACCATGTGTAAAGATTGCAAATAATGTGGAATTGGCGCTGAAATTTATGACATGGAATGCGAAATCAATTTATCGTTATGAAACAAAATATATTATGGATAATTTTTCTGTTGAAATTATTGCGAGATCATAAAATATAAATCATTTAGATTTATAATTTTCAGAATTCTCCACGAGCTACTAGTTCACCGGCTGTGTCAGTAAATGCCCAGAATACATTTTATAACCAACAGATGCTTCTACAGCAGCAGTATATGCAAATACCATCGCTTTATGGTAGTCAGCAAACGGGAGGAATCGTAAGTTCAATTATTACAAATTTTAAATTTTGTGCATCTGGAAATGTGGTAGTATTACAGTGAGTTAAACATTCGTTGTTTTCTTTTTAGGAAGTGTTTGGTGATAATTACTATATTTTACTTTTTAAAATTTTTTTGAAATTTGAAATCTAATCATTCAGTACAGTAATTACCATTCCAAGTTACTTATTATCAAAGAATTGGAATAGTGTTGTAGATGTTACAACAGCATCCGGTGGATATCCAGACATTCCAACAGCAGCAGCATCTATTACAAGTTATGCAACAGCAGCAACAACAGCAGCAAGCATTGCAGAATCATCAACGTAGTTTAGGACTTCACGAATCACAAGTAAGTTCTAAAAAGTAAATTTTGTGTTTGGGAAGGATTTAAAAAACAATGACTAATTGAATGATAATTAGAGAGTTGCTTTTATCCGTCATTACTTGATTCGTGTTAATTTTTCATGAGCTATTAATCCGTTATGTTCGAAATAAGTTAAATACATGCTATTATTTCTCACTGGTTATTTGTAGGTGATACATTGCTATTATTTCTCACTGGTTGTTTTTAGGTGAAATTAGAGATTTATTTTGTTCTCTTAAGTTGCAGTGAATAGTATCTTTGAATTATGAAATCAGTGCTACTTTTTTATTGGTGTGACTGATATTAATTCATTACTTAGTAGGCAAACTTTTTATTTTTATGAAATTACTACTAATAATTTGATTTAAATAGAGGGAGGGGATTTCAGTTTGAGTTGTTCAGGTTATCAGATTATTATTAACCTGATCGCTACTTATCAAAGTAATATCTTGTACTACGGTTAATTAATTTGCTGATTCTGTAATTAGTTTTCGGCCAATTAATTTGTTGCCACTTATCTCATAGCTGATTACATGTTTAAATTTGGTTAAGCTATCAAAATTTTGGCTTATTGTCTTTCATGTTTTTTTACAGACTTTTGCACAGCAACAGGTTGTGCTGCAACAGCAACAATATCAGCGTGCATTACAACAAGCAGCACAGCAGCAACAAGTTTGTGTTTCAATTACTAATGTACAGATCTTGTATTGCGAATTAAATATTATTTAGTATATTGTTGCTGGTATTGAATTGTATGATTTCTACTCTTTTCCAACTTTTAATTTTATTACTATTGCCATTTTCCATTGGCGCTACTTAGTAAGCAATATTGATAGTATTCTATTGATTTGTAAAATTAGAATTTAATCATGTAAATTCGCTTTTCATTTTTGAAACAAAAATATAGAGCATTTTTACACATGTGGCATAATTCAGTGTCCATTTCCAGCAACAAAGGCAATTGGAACAGCAACGTTTGTTAGAACAACAACAACGGCAACTTGACCTCATGCATCAAGAACGTGAAGCAGCTCGATTGAAGCAGCAGCAAGATGAAGTTAATTTATTAATTTTTGAATGGTATTTCGAATTCTTACAGACTAGTTGATACCATAGTAAGACTTAAAAGATAAGTGATTGAAGTTTCTTCAGTTGTTACGTCAAAAAGCCGAAGCATTGGCACGTCAGCAGCAAGAGGAAGAGGTTCGGCGAATAGCTTATGAAAAAGAGCAACAATTTAAGCAGCAGCGAGAAGCACATGAAAGATTACGTTTGGAGCAACAGCGAATTTTGGAAGAACAAAAACGGCAGGTAGAAAAAGTTTCTTTAACAACTGTTTTGACAAAATCTTAGTTTCTCTTTAATATCGACGTGTTTTACTTCTCTAACAAGTTTTATTCATGTTCACAGGAATCAACTGAAAATATTAGTTAATTTCCGTACTAATATAATACTTTGAACAAAGGTTACGATTAGATAGCACAGAATTGAAATAGTTTAAATAAAATTATGTTTTGACTTTCTATCGTACTAATTTTAATTTTTGAATTTCATTAACATAAAATGCTTAAATTTAATTAATTTGGATCTTTCATTACTTTTTAATTGTTTTTTTCATTGTTCCTATAGGAAGAGGCTCGAAAACTTGAGGAGCAACGCAAAGAAATAGAAAAAGTGCGTGCAATACGAGAGCAACAAAGTCGAAAGCAACGTGAAGCACGTGAAGCTTTCAACATAATGAAAGAAAAAGCCGACAGTTTTCCCATACCCATACATCTGGCTGGTTGTCATACACTTACCAAATGTATGATTTACTACCAATTTTGAGTTATAGAGTATTACTAGTCGGTATAGTCAAAAAAAAGTTGACAGTTTTCCATTCTCACACATCTGGCTGAGTTTCACGCACTTTCTGTATTTATTGTATACACTAAGTTTTTATGTAAACGTTTGGATTGCACTAATAAAGAGATAGCATCCTCAAATGGATATCATTTACTGCTATTTTATGACACTCATCTAATCACTCATCTTCAGTATTCTGTTTCTGTTGGAATTGGCTTCATTTCGGTTAATTTTTGTTGTCAGATACCTCTTCCATTTTGTTACCATGATCAGTAATAATTTTTTGAGAATATTTAGCTTTTTGGAGTAAAGTTAAGAAATCGAGAAATCTTTTAAGAAACTAATTTTTTTACATGACTAAATGTGGTCATTTCTCATGAAAGAATTTTGTTTGTTGCAGTGGTGAATCATTTACCGTTTCCGTCTCTTTATTTGCCTTACACGAACAACCTTAAATGTGAAACTATAAATGTATTACCACGAATTGGACCTACACAGAAAGAAATTTTAATACAAGCCGTTGAAGCTATTTCACAAGTTGAAACTTCCGATGTGTTAGTTGTTTTCAGTAAATTTTTTGTTAAATGATTTCAGTCTTTTTTCAAGAAATTTAGATTTCGGTGATTAATATTAAACACCGTTTCTTTTTTTTTTACCAATTCTTTGTGAGCAAAAAATTTGTTTAAGGGAAATGCGCCTATTAGTTTACTGCTTGATGAGGGTCAGTATATTCTCTAACTACAAGTGACCACCATGTTTTATACAGATCTCTCTTCTAACTTATGTACATGTTTATTCACGTAGTTTACAACTTATTGTTGTATTGAAATAATTATACAATTTAATGTCAGGATATTGAAACATGAAGATGGTGAAACGAATGATTTTGATATGCATGCAGCACCTTGTTTTGTGCGCGAATTGTATGAAATCAACAATCAGGTTTGAAAATACGGAATTTTATATAATTGTGATATATTGTTAGAGCTTGGCTGTTTGAATTTTTAAGTTAAATCACGTAGATGACTTTCATTCATTTTATAATGCTGTTATATATGGCTCTATGATCTCCTAATAGAAAGATCGAGTAATTTCGCTCATAGATTAACTAATTTTCTTTTCTTCCAATGTTTTGCGATGCTTATCATAGCTCCAAAAAAACATTTCTCATTTTTTGGAATTTTATATAATTACAGGCATTTGACGTTGATATCCCTGAAAGTGTCGTAGCTCCTGAAATAATAGATGTAGCAGCTAACACTTCTATTGAAACTGAAGCAGATGTAATGGTGATGCACTGTTTTCTATTTTGCCTGTTTTTCATTAAATTATGTCTTTTGTAAATTCGTAAAATCTTCAAATTTCCTTAGCATTTTTTCTAGCAATACTAACGCTGGAGAAGTTGTTTGTTACCTCTATAAAATATTCAAACTTTTTAAGGAAAGATCAGCGGAACTTCAAGAACAAATTACGCTTGTGAAGGAAGATCTTGTGGAAACAAATGGTAGAACTGATGTCAAATCGCTGAAAATGGGGACAGCAATTGTTTCCGAAACACATACACCATCTTTCTCAGATATATCGAAATCGACTACAGTACAGGAGGATGAGCAGCAAGTCCAATTACGTCGACAAATTGTTTCTCTTGGAAAGCAACCGAAAGCTCAACAAATACGCAGGAAAAAGGATATGGTTCGTGGATTGAGTTCCGCAATTCTTTCTTCCACCTGGAGCGGAATAAAAATGACCTCGATTCATTTGAACTTTACTGTAGTGTGATAGTGATTTCATGTGCCGCAGGGAATTAAGTAACTTAACGAGCATTATTTCATTTTTGTTTCTGCGTGCTTTGTTTTTGTTTTAGGAAGCTCTGTGGCTACTGAAGGTTATAATTCATCTTTGTAAGCTCTACTCGAACTTAGCCAAACAATATGTGAATGATAAGGACCAACCATCAGGCTCTTTTAATCTAATAACTGGAAATTATAAACCTTCACTTGTTATCTATGTCACAGGTTGAATCGTTATTCGACTCTCTGACTGGTTATTTTGACCCGACTGAAGGTCGCCGACGCAGACAGCGAACAAAGACATATGAGGAAGAACAAAACGAAAAAGTATGTTTTCTTCTGAAGTGAATAATTTGAAATTTTTATATTCATTTTTTTAAGTTTGTTACGCTAAATAATTATTCTCAGAATTGCCAAAATAAAGGTTTGGTTTTCCATTTTTCATAAGAGTTTAAATAAATCCCTTTTTACAGGTACAAATGGAACTTTTCGCACAAATGGAGAAAGTAGATGCTAATGAGAAAGAAGAAAGTAATCCTTTTTAGTTGACAAATTGCATTTTCTAACTTACTACAGTTTTACCATATTCTGACCTGTATTTTTTTGAGAAGGGTCTGCGAAAATTGAGCACCGTCCGGATCATGCTGGAACATCTAAAGAAGGATCAACGGAAAACGATGAGAAACCTAAATTTTTCGAAGGACACAAAAAAGGTCGTAAAAGAGTCCGAGAAAAAACTTTTGAGCAACCAGAAAGACCGCCTACACCAACAGAAGGTTTAAATTTGTGAATTTACCCATTTCTTATCCATTGCTCAACCGTTATTGGGACATTCTTTTCTTTTTATGTTTAGCTATGTACTTTCATGAACAATGGCAGCTTTATGATAGACTAGAGTTTATTTATTTATTTTTTCCGCACAATATTTCTAATTATAGTGATTCAACAACGAGAATTAGAATGGCGTGAACGCCAACGTAAACGACGTGAAAAGCATAAACGTCGGCAGAATGAATCGGAATCTGAATGTTGGAATAATGAAGGTTTACTTATGGGTTATCGTAGGTGTTCTGACACATTTTTCTTACGCCACACAGCTTTCATGCGTGGAAGTCAAAAGTAAGAAAATAATGAAAAGGCGCAAATAAATGAAAATACAATTAAACAAACAAAGCGAAGAAAGTACCATGAATAGCAATCCGGCGAATCTTCGGATCATAGCACGGCGTGTCAGAAATGATCAATGGGTTTCAAGTAAAATCAAAAGTGCTTAGCTTAACAAACTTTATTGAATATCTATAATTGCATTAATCAAGTATCTCTAAGGAGACTACTTAGACAATATATTGCAGTTATGGCAGAGAAAGAATCGTACATCAAATTCACCACTATTATTGATCAAATTTTTGAAACTATTGATGAACAGGATTTCGTTCCAACAACAAACGGTTAGTTGGCTTATTCTTCCAAAGTCGACTAGGCATGATCTAAAAAGCGAATTATTGCTTGAGACGAATTTATTTAACATCACATTTAAGTTTGAATTTTATGCCAATTTCATTATCTTAATTAATCATACTTGGAATGCTTATTGCTTTATCGTCATTCATTACTTGCTTTTTCCATTTATTAACCTTTACGTAATTGATATTGGACTTTTCCTAATAAGTTTCAGCTTAATAAAAATAAATGTAATTTTGTTGCTGCAAATTCTAGCAGATGATGATTGTGGAATGCCACAAGACTTTTTGGACAAAGACCAGCTCGAAGAATTGCGCCAGGAAGCGCAAAAATTGAAGTCGTGGAAGAAAATCAATAAAGTATGTCTTCTTATCTGTGCAAAAGTCACAAATTATAAAATAATATTCTTAATAAATAGAGGTAATAAATTAAATATTTCTTCTCTTTAGTGCTTTAGATATGCATTACTTCATTCTTTTCTGGCAAAGGAGTTTTGTGTAAAAATATAATTCAGGTCAATCCAGAACGTCTAGTAAAACTTTTGACAATTCTGGAAAAGAATATCCGTGATATAATCGGTGCAGAAGGGGAACAGTCACTCATTACCCTTTTTAATGAGGTAGATTTTTATTTACAAGTTTTTACTTTAGAAGACTTTCTGAAGATAAAGGTTGTTATTCGTCCTACCGGTATATTTTTGGGATTTCTTGCGTATTTGCGGATAGCTTTGATGAAATTTGGGGGAACGATAACATGATCATCATTGCTGATTTGTAGATAAATTAGTGGGAATAAAGAAACAATTTCAGGAAATCTGTACATTTGTATGAAATCTTGTATAAAGCGCATATTTATCAGTTTTACCCATTTTTTTCATCTTTTTTTTATAGGAAGATGAAGACGATTCAAATGAAGCATATCGTGAAGCAATCGGTGATCGTATAATGCGTGCAGCTGATGCATCTTGTACAGCAATGCTTATAATGACATCTACGAAAATGCCGAAACAAGTAAGGAAAATGTTGACATACGTTTTTGGTGGCATTGAGTTATCGCGTAATTTCGTTTTTGATATAATGCAACTGTTTCCTTTTTCCGAACTTGAGTCACTCAAATGTTTTTTGGTCAATTTTGTGAGTACCTTGGCATATCCATTTTTCATATTTTGAGACTTCCAGGTATTTATCGAAGACCCAATTGATCGTTCCATACAACTCTGCAAGCAATTTCTTAACAATATTGTTTATCCGACATCCGATAGCTCATGTAGTACTTCTAATAAAGGACGAAAGAATGGTAAATATAAATTAGAAACAAAGTTAAAATTTGAATGATGGATTTTACTACTCAATTCATTTTTGCTGTTCTATTTGCAGAAGATAGAAAACGAAAAAAGTCTATAAGTAATGCTCGATCCCGCATTATCAAAAACATTTACACTCGTGTTACTGAACTTGTCGGATGCTTTGCTGAGCTCGTAAGACATTTTTTATTAAAATTAGTTAATAAAAATAATTTGCTCGTTTTAGGCGAAAGTTTCAGGTTTTTTACCTTCGTAAAAAGTTGAAACCCAGTTGTATGAACTTCAAAACAAGAACATTTAGAATAGAAATCTAGTTTTAGAACTTGGAAATATTCAAGTAGAATAGGCGAGTCATTATTTTGTTTTGAAAGTTCATTTAATTGTTCTCAACATAAAATTGCTAAATTGCAATATAAATACCCGTCAGTTATCTTCCTTGTGAGGTAGATTCAAAATGGCTTTACCTTTTTTAGATGAGATTCTTCATTTTTATTCGCTTAAAAGAATTAGATTTTATAGAACCACTTCGAAGTATCAATGAAATTTCTTAACCTAACATTTTGCTTTTTTTGAAATTTCAGGTTCGTACTCAATCCTTAACAGATACAGCTGTACTGCAGCTATGTACTTTGGCATCTGGACCATTCTTTATAGATAATGTTGGTGAATTACAAATGCAATCTATCAAACTTCTTTCGGCCATTTTTTCGCGTTACGAAAATTTTCGAAAAAGCATCATTCAAGTTAGTGACTGTCATAATTAGTCCGCTTCTTTCTTTTTCAGTTGTCATCCAAGAAAAAATCTCAAATTAATTTTCAAAATTTTCAAGGATTTGCTCAGTTCTGTTCATCGTCTACCTCCGATAAAAACTTCCAAAAATAGTTATCGTATGACTGCTGAGGATTGGATCAGTAACATGACTGTTCTTATTATGCAGCTTGTGCAAAGTGTTGTGAAGGTAAACAATAAATTACTTTTATTCACTTTATTTTGTTTTGCTTGCTGTGAAAAAATCTTTTTATTTTATATGCTGTCTCTTAGTGACGTCGAAGGAGAAGATGGTAGAGAAAATTCATAAATTTCATCTACTTTTATTGTTAGGTATTCTGGTTGCTATAATGACTATAATGCAGTTTTCATTTTGGAGATTTCGGTTAAATACAGAAAAAAGTAAAATATTTTAGTAATATATCAATTTTTTATCATATCTTTATAAAAAAATAACATAAACTGAGTCATCTTATTCAAGTTGGTTCACGTCAAGATTTCTTTCTACTATCGGCGAAAAATCTCTGAATCGAATATTAAATTTATTTAGTATCAGCTTACAAAAAATTGATTTCGTAATAGTTAAACAGATGAGAAAGTGAGGATAATTTTTAACATCTTATTCATTACTAAAGGTTCCAAGGCGTCGACGTTCTGATGAACCTTTTGACATTGGTGAAGAAACAACAGTTGATGATACTGTAGTCAAAGATTCTGTAGTTGAATGTCAAAAAATGGCATCATTGTTTCTCAGTGGATTCCTAGCTAAGTAAGTTTGTTAATTGCCATTGCTCGCCTTTAACTGACGGTTTGTTTTTGATTGTTGGACTTTTAAGAAAAATAGAAATTGAGAAGTAAAATAGCTAAGAGGACTAAGTCAATTTTTTCTTCGCAATAATTTTTCACTTTTGAATGTATAAATCGTAAAACTTTTAAATTAAAACATTTTTAATTTTTTTATTTTTTCTGTGTACTTGACTCTAATTGCAGGTGCACAGCCAAGTCAGAAGAAGATTACCGACGTCTATTCGACCAGTTTGTACATGATTTGCTCACTGCTTTATACAAACCTGAATGGCCCGCCGCTGAAATGCTCTTGACGTTACTAGGAAATGTTCTGGTCACTTTCTACCGTTCAAAAAATGTTGATATGTCATTGAGAATTGCCAGGTATTTTTATAAAGTCATGAAGTTATGACTCACAGGCGTTCGAAATAATTTTTTTCATGAATATCTCTGTTTTATATTTTCATATTCCTTCTCTCCATTTAGATTTTATTTTACAGTTTGGATTATTTGGGTACAGTAACTGCTTCACTGCGTAAGGATATGCAGCAGGCTATTTCGGACGATATTCGGTTGGATGTAGTTGTTAAAACACTTCTGTATGAAGAGCTTGAGGAGGAGGAACAGACCGGCGATATCGATACTATTGATATCAGTCATGTTAGGTTTTTCCTATTGTACACACAGTCCAATCAGTTCTTATAAGCTTGCTAGAATTGCTTAATTCAATTCTTTTTCCGAATGGAAATTTACTTCTCTAGTAAACAATGGTTCCGATAGTCTGGTATCGAGCAATCAATAAACACATTCTTCTTGAATTGCTTGAAGCTTCTGAAACATGTGAACGTCATGCCTATGCACTTCTGCTCTTGTCATGTTCATGTAGAATGTCGAGTGAACATCGAGAGCACTGTTCATTTTATATCCAGCATAAGAAAAGTGCAGTTTAATGAATTCACTTGTCAGTGATTTCATTTTTCAAACTCTTTCTTGATTCTTAATATCTAAGTTATGAGTTTCAGCGAAGTGTAAATTGCGGCTGATTTATTCCGATTTTATACTCCTACCGAATTCTTTTCATTTTAAATACCCTCTTTGCAGATGTCACCAGCCGACAAGATGAAGAAGGTTCAACGAGCCTTGATTGATTATCTCGTTGAAAGAAGAGGTGATGCTGATGTTTCCATCGAGGTATTTGGTTATTATTTTTCATTTTTTTGCACACATTCAGCAATATCACTTTCCTTATTCTCAGGCCTTCAGGAATATTTTACGTTTTTTTTTCAAGCAATGCCGGCGTAATGATTTGCGTTATGCAAAAATGCTCCTTTTTTCAGTTTTTCTGCTACTTTAATTAATTTTTATTGCTAAATTTTTAACTATGTTAAAAACTTAATTTGCAATTTTTAGTATGCGATAATGTTTTATGTGGGTATTTGGTATAAGGAAGTGTATGAAGAAGCAGAATCAGCAAAGCAAAAGCTGAAGCAGATTATGAATAGTTCCGAAATCAATGATAAAGAAAAGCGCAAATTTGAAAAGAAATCTGCAAGGGTTAACTAATTTTTGACTTCGAGTTTTTTTTTAAGAATTTTCATTTAGTCGCGATTCTACTTACTTTTTAATTTTATTGTTTATATTGGTACATCTGTTAAGTATATCTTTTAGTGTTAATAATTGTTTGTCTAGCGAGACGTAATTCATGATTAAGTTAAACTTGTAGTAACCACTCATTATCATTACAGTAAGACTGACTGTTGAATAGAAAAAGATCTAGATGAATTGAACTTGACTATAATATTTTTGAAAAAAAATTTATGAACTTAGAATTTTTTCCTACTGTTTTCATATGAATTCAGGTTCTGGAACGATGTCAGTTAATGAAAATATTTCTTATCAAAACTGCTGACAAAAAGCATATGAGGAAACGTGCTGAACAAATTGCGTATGTTTTTTGAACGGATTGTTTCAGCGAAAAATGCTGATGTAATTTTTTTCTTACCATTGAAAGTTTTCTAGTTAGCTCGTTTGCATTTGATATAAATCTGCGAACCATGCTTCATTTTAACGTATATTTGACTGGTGTATTGCACTTTCTTTCAGACGTACTGGTAGCATTTTGATGGATAGCGATGCGTCGTGGCTTGTAAGATTCCTGGCTTCAAGTCGGGAATTCAGCCAATCGTTTTCCACATACCTCAATCATGTTAGCATATTTTGAAGAAATTTTTGCTTATTAATATCTAAAAGCTGCTGAAGAGCCTTATAATGTTCGGAAGAAAGTTTTTCAGATTTTGTATGGCATACATGCAGAACAGGCAGTGGGTTTAAGGACCAAAGCAATGCGATGCTTAACCTTGATCATTGAAGCAGATCATGCGGTTTTAAAAATTGTAGGTCTTTTTATTTTACGAAATACCGGGAAACTTCCTTCAAGAGAAAGAAAGGTTTTATCGGCAAAGTTTTGTTGATTTGGTAACTTACTGATTAATTACAAAAATTTTCACGATTTTAGATTATTTATGGATTTTAATGTGCAACTGTTTACGCATATTTTCGCACAGTGTGCGAGCGTAAATAAATTTGAAAAGTAATCAGTACACTTTTAGCCTGAGGTACGCAAAGCAGTGCAAGCAAGGATGATGGATCCGAATGCAGCAGTTCGTGAAGCGACCATTGAACTCATTGGGAAGTATTTGATTGCGAAACCTGAATATGTCCCCCAATACTATCCATTATTAATTGAACGTATCAAGGTTACCGATTCAAACGAAGTTTAAAATTTAAATGCAACTGAAAATAGCACTTATTACTTATCTTATGTTAATGTTATTTACAGTATAGGGATTTGTTTGTATTTCTTAAACCAGAAGTTAGCTGTTTTTGATTCTGTTTTTCAATTTAGGACTCTGGTGTAGCAGTTCGGAAGCGTATAATACGTATATTGCGTGAGATTTGCGAAAAGCAGCCTGATTACGAAAAAGTGCCAGAAATGTTGGCACGGATCGTACGTCGTATATCGGATGAAGAAGGAGTAAAGAAATTAACTATTGATACAATGCAAAGCTTGTTGTTTCAATCTGCTCGTGAACGAGATTCTATTCAGCTAATCAATAAGTTATGGTTTATCTCCTCTCTATTGTGAAATATTTCAGATATATTTAGATGTTCCAAGGAGAGCATCATAAAAGATGATTTTTTGTTTCTTTTTTTCTCTTTCACCTCTGGATGCCTTTTTGTTATTTTTAGGTAATGACATTGACAGATATGGTCCAAATATGCATCAAGGAAAATACATTGGACTTCTTCGAGCAATTACTAAACAGCTTGCTTAAAAGCAATGATCGGGCCTTGCTATTTGCTTCACGACAGATTGTGGATACATTAGTGGACAATGTCCTCACATTAGATTCTAAAATGGCTTCAGGTAATTCAGATTTTTAAATTATAATCTTATTTCGAAAAACTGAATGTAGTTTATTGTATGTTAGCTTTGTATTTTGTACGCCTTTAGTTTAACTATAGTTCTCGTACATTTTTTTTAATTTCTCGGTTAATTAACTTTGAAAAATGCAGGTTGCTTTTTCTATTATTTAAGGCGGTGGTGAAGTAATAAATAGTACCGAAGAAAGCACTTCGATGAATGCAGCAGCAGCTCACAAGGAACATCAAGAACGAATGCTGGCTTGCCTGTCCACCCTATCATTATTCAGTAAAGCAAAACCAGATCTGATGGTCAAACATGCGGAAACATTGCAACCATATCTATCAATGAATATGAACGGACCAGCAGAGCAGCAAGTCATGAATCAGGTGCTATTAATTTGTAGCAATCTTCATGGAATAACTGTTTAAAGGGGGTTTGAAAGATCGAGAGTTCAAATTTTCAAGAAGTCTTATAGAGCTTCAAACAATTTTTGTTCAAATTCTAATATTTTCAGCAATTTTGCTTATAATTATCATTATGTATAATGTATATCTTGTTAAAGGTGGTCAATATGTTGGAAAGGGTGGTTCCACTGATGGACCATCCATCAGAATCATTCCTCAAAACACTCGATGAAAGCTTATATCAGCTAGTGAAAGATGGTGGTATGCGTATCATTGCTTCATCGTTAGCCTGTAATGCAGCTATATACAACAAGTGGAAAAAACGAACTCCAGCGGTTATCGAGACGTTTTTCAAGTATTTGAGTAAGTTTGTACTTTTCACAAAAAAGTGATAAGGATTTCCTTTAACGTCTTGTCCAAATTAAAAATAAAATATTACGTGTGGTATTTTATATTGTAATCTAAAATCATCACTTGGATTTTAAACTAATGTAAAGTGATATAATTTTAATATGTATATTGGATCAGTTAATTAGCTGCATGTTTACAGAATACTTGCATCAAATAAAGGAAGATGTATTGCGGAAGCAAAGTCCTGGAATTCTACCAGTGAAGAAACCAATGGTACTAAGGTGAAATAATTCTCCCATTTAAATGATCTTTACTAATTTATTAGTAGCTGTTATAATTATTTCTTTTTATGATTGACTTAACTATATTTCAAACTGTATGATTTTACTTTTTCAAGCTGAATTTTGAATTTATTAATTTTTCCTAGGTCGTTGTTTTCTATCGGATTGATGTCGCGCTATTTCGATTTGGATACAATATTGGAAAATGATGAAGAAGCGAAGAAATTTCTAGATTTAAATGTGTCAGCGTTACAATCGTCCGCTTCATCAACAGAAGTAAATGAAGAGCATGATGAGGAAGAGAAACAATCTATGAAATCGAGTCCCTTTGTTGAAATGATTTTCCAAGTTTTGACAACGTTCTGCAGATATCGTGATGGTGATATCCGACTAAAGGCTTTAAATGCTATTGGTTAGTAATAATACTTAATGACTGAAACTTTAAAACCAACAAATTTGCAACATATGGTCCATTTCTTCTAAAAAAATTTTTTGCTTATATTTTTAGGAAATTTCACAGCAACTAATTCGGAATACCTGACACGAACGGAGTTGCGAAATATGTATATGACATTGCTGGGAACTGATGATAAAGAGTATTTGGGTTTGAAAATACAAACTCTGAAGAATTTGGAATTATTTTTGGGTGCCGAAGAAACAAAAATGGTTAAAAATAACAGTGAATGTGAGTTTCTTTCATGAAAATCAAAATAAAATTCAAAAAAATGTATTCGAAATTCATCCTAGATTGGTAAAGAGTTGTTAATGATTAGATGACGTGCGCGTAAAGCGTTCTGTGAAGCGCTTTATACGTCAACAATCCAGTGGGGGTCAAGTAAACATTTGAGCCCTATTAATAACCGTCCCTGCTTGGAAAAAATCTAAGAAAAATTTTATTTTTTATATCAGTTTATTAATTTGCATGTTCGAAGATGATATACTTTCCAACCTATGTCATACTGTAAATAAATTGCTATAGGGCATATCTCAAAAGAAGAGCATGATTTGAAAGAAATGGAATTGGCAAATTCCGGATTAGCTTCAGCGATCATACAACTTTATTGGAATGCAGTGTTGAACTCATATTACAATTCAAGTGATGCTGTGCGAACTGCTGCTGTTCAGGTAGGTAATCATGGAATCCATCATTTCTGTGATATTTTGAAGGGCGCAAATCATAATATAGATTTCTTTTTCGGGATAGTTTATCATTATTAGCGAAATGAAGATTCAAAAGGATTTAAAAACTCCTTTTTTTGAAAATCTTATCGATGAAAATTTTGTAGGTTGCAATTCTAACCCTAAGCCAGGGGTTAGTGACGCCGGGTTCATCAATTCCAACTTTGATCGCCATGTCCACTGACCGAAACACTCTTGTTCGGAACAAAGTAGAAAATATGTTGAGAGATATTGATTCAAAATATGCTGGCATGGTTCCGGTTGGTGCTTTTATCAGTCTTTTTTTCCTTTTCCTCCCAAATTTTTACTTACCAGTATGGATTTAGGAAGAAATGGTAGTGTCTTTCTTCAAATAAGCTAAGTGTTTTTCATTCCTTCCAATAAGAAATTCTTATGTTAGTATACGATCTCCATTGTTTCTTGCACTGAAAATTTCAACTAATGCGGAGGTTTCAACTAGAAAATATTTGATGAAGTTTGGGTTTCTAAATCTTGGAAAAGTTGCAGAGTAAGGCAGTAGCAGGTATACGCTGCTCATTTCGTTTGCATATGATCGTAAAGAGGGATCCGGAATCTGTCCTTCGTGGTATTCGAGCTTGTGATCAGACAGCAACTGCTCAAGGTAGCTGTTTCTTTGAAGGACTTTTGAGCTTTTCCAACTGCCAAGATGATTTTTCCAGCATATTCCGGAGAAAGGACTTATTTCTCATTTTGAGGTTCTGGTGACAACCCAAAATTGGTAAACGGAATACCGAAAATGACGAATGATGGACAGGCATTACTAAGTGGGCTGTATCAAAATCTTCGTGGTAATCGGCAGCAGCGAAGAAGTTTTTTATCTTCTATTCTTCGTTTGTTCTCCGAGGATTCACGAGAGGTTAATTCAAAAATTTTTTCAGTTTTTTTGAATTTCAGAAGATTTGGGTTGCGCCAATATAGATGCCTTTTTTATCTTTTCAATGCATTATAGAAATTGACATTGGAAGAATGGCTATTTGTTGCGGATAATTTGGCAATGTTTCCGTATCAGGTGATAGATGAACCGTTATACGTTATCCGACGAATAGAATCCATTGTTTCCATTAGCGGACAAAATATAATCAACAATTTCATGGGACAGCTTCTTCCACGACCAAGCAATGTAGAAAATGATGATGAAGCGGAATATACACCCGAACTTATCTATAGTTAGTTTCAAGTTGTTCTATTTTGTGTTATTTTTTGTCATTGCTATTGCTACTAGCTGCTATTGTTATACTTTTATTATTGCTGTTCTTATCATTATTAACAGTACTGTTATTGCTATTGGTTATTTCTTAGCTTCAATTTTCTTTAAAAGTCTGTGAAACCACCATGAATTTCTTCCTTGACTCTCTATGAACAAATTTCATAAAGTTATTGAGTTTTGACTTTTTCTATAGTACTTATAGATATGAGTTATATCTGCGTAGAATAGAACGACGTTTAAGTGCCTTTAGAAAACTGAGAGGGTTGTTACTGGAAGTAAACGAAAAATTACCGAAAGTAAGCATAATAATTAAGGAACATAAAGAATATCGAACTAGAAATCCAAAATATGATGGTTGAATGCAATTATTCGTCGTATTTTCTCTTTTTTCATGTGTTTAGTTCAAGACTATAATTTCTAACTGCATATATATCCTTATTACAGGACGATTTCCGGAAGATAAAAGTATGCTTCACGAATGTATGAAAAATAGTCAAGCATGCTTTATATTACTTTATCTGAAAAATTTCTTAATGAAACTGTATGGATTCAGTGATGCGTAAGTAACTATAATTACTCTATTTCGTTGTATAAACTTCTTTAAAATGAAGTTAATAGCAATTTATTTTCAGTTATACCAAATAACCTTTTAAAGGTTCCTCTTTTGCGTTATTCGATTTTGAATTTCGACTAATTTAGTCTCTCATATGAACTATTTTTCTGATAAATTTATGAGATAATTGAAATAATATGCTGATTTTCATTTTCTCTTTTTGTACTATTTTGTTGAATTTTCTGATTTTTGTAGTAAAGTGCAAGAGTATAGTCCATCAGAGGCAGCTAAAGTTTATGAAAAAGCTGTTAGTAGTCGACGTAATATGTTGATGTTCAATCCACACTCAGCACTTCAAGAACTCCGCCCAGAAACAGCCCAGAAGCGTGACACGGTAAACGGTCACATCGAAATGGCTAATCAAATTGTAGCTGTAAGTTCTTTATAATGTGTTATTTTTATTTTGCAATTGCAAAAATTCAGAATTTTTTTTCATGAATTTTTTTTCACTCTTCAGTTCCGAAACATGTTGCTTTCGTTGGATCATGATAATGGTGATGAACATGATGGAACAGATGCTACGGGACTCATGGGAACTGCAGCATCAAAAGATACTATTAATGCTATAATGGAAGATGAGGATCAAGATGCGCATATGGCTGATAGTATTTCCGAAGCTACCAATTTTAGTGAAGCTGATGCTATGTCCTCCTAAAGAAGTTCTTCAGTTATACATTCATTTAATCTCTTTGGAGTGGTGAGAGTTTGCGGATTTTAATCTATTATTATTTGCCTAAATTGTGTGTTATTAATTGATACATTGAAGAAATTATTCTCAGGAAATAGATATAGTTATCCACAAATTTTTCGTTTTGAATTGCTTCATCGAATTTTGTTATTTACCTGTTATCCATCATGAAATTGCAATTTGCAATTTTTGAATTTCACCTTTCCTGGAGTTTTATTGAGAGGTTAACATGATCATGGCATAATTTTGGGTTTCTGGGAATCGTGTATGAGATACTGTTCTATGTTTATAGCCCTTAAGACCTTTAATTTAACTATTTTAATGAATGTGCTCGAGTACTTCATATGAGCTACCACTGTGAAGAAGAAACGTTAGCTCGACGAAAATTTAATATTTTTAATTGCTTTAACCTAGTAAAAGGAAAAAAGGGAGCCTTTTAGAAATATTTGGTTGCGACAAACCAGGATTGGTACAGTTTTTTCTTCCATAGGATTGTAGATTACTAAATACCACTTTTTTGAATTGTCCTCTTAAAAGCAGTAGATAAGAGTTCAAGTGCCGCATGTATAATTATGTGAAACGTCTTGTTATACGAATCATAAAGTTGAGATGACAGGAAAGTAGAAGCTGCATAATAGAACATTTACCACAGAAAAGCAACCAAAGCATACGGAAGCATCACGTTAGTCGCCGAGACGTATTATTATGCTAAGGTAACCAGGTAATCACTGTGTCGTACACGGTGTTTGTGACTGAGATGTTACTAATGCATTACAACAGCGACGAAATGAGTCAATTGTGTGCTCCCTACACCTCTGCGGTACTGGAAATCGCTGTAGACCACAATTCTCAAGATTCCATTAAATCCTGTGCGTTTTAGATACTCATTTGTGTTTAGTTCAAAAGGTTTTCTAATCCCGTCTTTCTCTGTTTTGCGTTTTGGTGCCCGGTTGCTGATGTCATTGTCAAAATTTTTTTAACTCCCCCATTCTCTCACTTCATCTTTCCCATTGTTTCATTTCTAAATTCTAGCAAGATTCCGGCTCCTCACCCAACATAGCATACTGCACTATTTATGAATCGGGCATTACCCATTGTTTTAAATCGCGCCTCTATTATCATTAGTCTGGAACTCCCTTGCACAAAGTTTTTAAAAACACCTTGTCATTTATTTATATTGTAAAATTGATAAAATCTTTCTATGTGTAAAGCAATAACCATTATGATTGATAAAATTTGATATATTTACAGAATCAATGTTCCTTTTCACATTCTTCACATGTTTTAAATAGAAAAAGGCACCTGAGATTACTTTAGAGCCAACAAGTCTCGATTTTATGGAAGGAAGACTACTTCATGAATTTTTAATGTGTAAGTACAGAATTTCGCAAAGGTCATGTCAAGTTTTTTTGTTATAAGCAACCTTTAAAAATACAACAATAAAAAAATGATAGACCAACTCACAGCACTTCATTACGTTGTGCGATAGAATTGATAACGATGAGCTTAAAGTGATCAATACTAAGTATCAAACAGTAAAGGTCGATCTTGAAGAAATTATCAACATTGTCATCGCAGTTACATAACACTGAAATCGGTAAGATCTTCGTAATCACACTTGCTGCTCTGCTCTGCTGGCACCGATTGTTGCGCACCTGAATTTTGTCTATCGACAGCATTTGTATCGCTGCACTCTGTAGCAGAATCTTTCGATTCCTCTGGAAATTCGAAATCTATATTTTTTCTTTGAAAAGAAAAGGAAAAAAAGAGAAAAAAGATTTAATGTCTTGGAAAATACATCCTTAAATCTAAAGGTAGAAAAGGAACACAGAAGAGAAGAGGATCTCGCCTAGAGATTTGTTGGATGAGACTGTTATTGAACGGCTGTCCTATAAATCAATAAAGAAATGCAGTTTGGTCCAAGAACATACAGCGAAATTATCGCATCCTCATATATAAGAAATTCAAAAGAGAAATGATACAAGTTAGAAATTAAAAAAGAACTTGCCATGACTTCCCGAAGAATTCCCATGTACACGTTTGATATGTTTTCGTAATTCACTTGCCAATGGATATGTCTTCCCACACAATTCACAGGCAAAATGCCTTCCTTCGTGTCGCTTACGATGAACTAACATCAATGTTCTGGTCGTGAAACGTTTGGAACAAATATTACAAGCAAACGGAAGATCTGGCTGGAAGAAAATGAGAGAAATGACTGAGATAGAACAAAGCTTAATCAATAGTCCGACGAATGATAAGTGCGATAAGAAACAAACAGCAGTAAGAGGAGAGGTGAATGACACATGAATAACTTGAAATCGAATTGAGAAATAAACTTGCCGATTGAACGACTTCATACTGTTTAATTTTATCAATTCTTTCCTCCGGATGAATTCGACCTATATGTCGTATAAGTGACTGTCGCGAGGCGAATTTCTTATTACATATTCTACACGTCTTGTCTAGAACTGTTCACAGTAACAAACAAAATAGAAATGATAATGAAAACGAAAAATAAAAATAAACGTATCTCAGTGAGAAATACACCATCCAAATAAGAAATCACATACCAACTTTAGGTCTTGAAGACAGAGAAAATATCGAACTTGTGGATGAAGAAGGAGAAGCACAACTGGTTTTCTTCTGCTGTTTGCTGCGAGATTCGTTCAAACAAAAATATTTATGTCTCTAAAATGATTTGATTCGGGACAACATAAATCCTACAAATAGCTAATTAAAAACTTTCCTAGTGTCATATAACGAAAGTAAAAAACCTTGAGAAAAATTATGACCCGGCTGCAATCAACTCTTTCTGATCTCAAGATTTATGGATGAGAAAAATCACTGTGTACCATTAAAAAAAATCTTCACTTGACTAGTGCCAAAAGTAATTTAACGAAATGAACAAAAGAGAGGTAATTCTCTTAGCATAAAACTAACATTTAATTCGATAAAAGTTCCAAACTTCTGCTTGCACTTATTACAATTATATTTTAAATTTATAATTTTTTCACCGTTTTCATCAATTCCATGAGCCCTACTTCTGTGCGCAACTAACGATTCAAACTTCCTGAAATTTACCCACTTTACAAGTTTTACATTTCCACACAACTATCAACTTCTATTTAAGGAAACTACACTATACGGCCCTAATATTATCGTTCCTGTAGTGGAAGAAGCACTTTGTTGTGATATCTAATACACAGTCTCCGCAGTGAAGCACTGATTTATGATTACCGTGGATAGAGCGACAATCTTGCTAATAAAAATATATCGTCTCAAAAAACTAGGTAATCTGTTTAAGGACAGAAGTTTTCGAAGTATGATAAAAGGAACAACTTTGGAGTATTAATGGTAAGATTCTTAAAAAGCTACCGAAATGATGAAGAGCACCGATTACAAATATGCACAAGTGATAGATCGTGTATACGTTCATGACGTTGCAAATGATGTTTCAATTTGAAACGTCTGTAGCAATAGCGACATTTGAAAATATAATTCTGAAATAGGAATCTCAAACAAAAACCAATTCGTTAATCAGAAATTGCCCTCTCTAATTTCTCCCATCCGTTTATAATCAGCTGTTTATAAACTGAATAGACAAACCCTGTTAGAAAGATGAATTTCATTTACATGATTTCTCATTGCAATCTCGTCATCAAAAACCCGACCGCACGCGAAGCATACAAACATTTGATAATCCTGAAAATTCACGGATAAATAAAGATTAATTACTGTTAAGAATACGAGCATCCTTCCAACATAAAATGCAGTGCTTAAAATTAACCACAATGCGCGGTAATATTTGACCTGAATAATTTTATCTTCAAATAAACTAATTCGTTTCGTATGTTCTTCACAATGTTTCAAGATTTCATCTAGTTTCGCGTCACTTTCCGCCGTTTCTTCTGATTGCGCTGCTCTAGCCTTTTGAATCTATAACCGAATTTTGGGAATAAAACCATCCTACATACATTATTAATAAGAAAATTAGGTAGGAAAATTAACTTAAAATGAACTTTGCAATGTTATTTTGCTTATTTTACATTAAATCTCCTAATGCCTATTAATGCACCACAGAAGGCTAAAATTGTAACTGCTTCCCTAAAAATTCCGTAACCATTCGTTAACTAATTCACCAATTCCTTCCTAAATTATTCCTTAAATTTTCATATAAAAATGATTCTGGTGACATTGCTGACAGGGCTCTCATATACCTGATCAATAACATCCCTCATTGAATCCACAGCAATGAAATATTCCGCTTCTGGATCATCCGTAGCTTCGGTAGTGGTAGTTAGACTTTCGGTACTATCCAAATCTGGCATATCTTCCACTTTTTCATTAACTTTAGAAATCCATTCTGAATATTGCGCATATCCATCGATTGCTGTACGCCACCGTTTGTGTTCGTTTTTCCGTTCTTCTGTAGTATCCTGAGCTCTTTTTAGCACTATAAATATATAAAAGTTCCGAAGTAATCTACAAACAAAGCAATATTTATGACTTCATCCCACGAAAAGAATACAGTGTTTTGCAATTTTATTCCCGGAAGCAGTCTTTCATCACTCATTATGAATGATTTCCTTACTTATTACCTGATTAATTTGACCAAAAATTACATATTTGCAGATAATTATTACTTCCTAATTAATATATTTTCGTCTCCTCACTGTCTAATATGAAGCATACATAAAAACGACAAAAACAACCCACTTCCCAGTTTATGTCCTTCTGTCCATATATTTATAACAATATAAATCTCATACGTACTGTTAGCGTGACTCACTAATTTTACTAATCTTACGATTTTTTTCGCTACTTCGAGAAACTATTTCAAACTTCACCCTTTCTAGAAGTGCTCGGAATCAAGAATTCGAATTCTTTTTCATTGATTGGTTGTAATTCATGAAACGTTTTCTCCTCATTTCTGTTTGGTTCCCATACCATTTCATCCGCATCCACTGAAGCAATTTCGCAAGCTTGTAAACGTTTGCGTACTGTTTCCGCTTGCTCAGGACTATTGTTGCCATCCTGAAGAAACGTTAACAGTAAGAAAGTAAAATTTTTGGCTAAAATCCGGAAGAATAAAGTTCAAAACTTAAAGAAAAGAGAAAACAAATATCCTTTTTTTTTAACGCGACAGTCTGTTTAACAAATACAAAAAAAGAAGGAAAAGAAGGGAGAGAAGAAATTCTATTGCTCTTGTTAAAATTTCGGCAGAAAATCCCGATTGATCATCCCAATTTTTCGGAATTTCTATACCTCGACCGAAGCTGCCGTTATACCGGAGACCGATTTGATGACGGTCTCCGTGGCACGATCATTACTTGATCCCTCGTCCATTTAACGAGCACTCCCCACATACGTACGTAGCAAAATTAATTGTTAGAACCGTAAAATTGCCAAACCAACTTTATGCAACGACTGACAAACGTTCGAATATTACGGCAGAGAGTCACTATGAAAAATTTTACGGATAACGACATCTTTCCACATGTGTGATATCATCCAGACCAGTTCCGTAATTGATAAAATTGCATTTTTGAATAAGCTATGCAATTGTTTTTATCTCCTCTAACCTGGAGTTACTAATGATTAATCGATATCTATGATTTGTGTAAGCCTGATTACCGCCTAATCAAAAGCCATGAAGTTACTTGAACTTTCTCTGGTAGCTTTTCAAAGTTGGTTAATATCATCTTTTAACCCTCATAAATTCTCCATTCATCAGATACACAATGAATTCTTACGGAAACCTTTATTTGTGCTAATTTTTTTCCTTACAAAATTTAAAATATTTTTTCTATATAAATTTTGAATTTCAAAATTTCCATAATCATACATTGGTCATATTTCTCCATTTCGCTACTTTTTCCTTGATTTAAATCGGAAGAACCATCCGAGATAAGTGTGAATGTCATTGTGTATGTTATATGCTTCTATGTGTGTATGTGCATGTGTGTGTGTGCATGTGTCTATATATACCTGTATATGCTAATTATGACCGATGCAGGTGTTAATTAATATGTTGAAAGCAGCAGGAAGCCCTAGAAAGTGCAAATGAAAAAGAAAAAAAACTAAACTTTGCAAATATCAGACATAATCTCAAAAATTTCTCAAAATTTAAATTTCATCTTACGAGAGAACTTTTCAAACTTTTCTTTAATAAAATGAGGGCTATGGGAATAAAGGAATAAGCGGTTGTCAACAGAAACGTCGAAAAAAACGTCGAAAAATAAATAAAATATTGGAATACAAAAGTTATTATTATATAAATTTTAAAAACAAAAGAGAAATATTCAATTACATAATTCTAAATTTAACAAATAATAATAATAATAATAACTTTTGATATCACTTTATTATTGTCATCGCTGAAATTTTTATAAACTAATGTTAGTCATTTAATTATATCCCAAATTTACTATTATTATAGTATAATATTTTAGCAGGTTGTACACCACTATTTTCTTTTCTGTTGATGTAATATTGGATGCCGAACACATACATTGTAACATCAATAAGATTTTCTTCAGAAATAAGTTCATAAATAATTTGACTTCAATTTCATCCATTAATTAAACACTTCTGGCAAACTTAATTCTAATTAATTTTGCAGAAATTAAATCTGAAAATATAATTCGGCAATATAAACAGGTAAAAGAATAGCAAGACAATAACGTTTTATTTTGATTTATTCAATCTTCCTAATATTACTAAAATTGCATTTGTCCTTTTTTGATTTTAAAATTATTAGTAAAAATATTCCAGCTAATAGAAAAAGAGAAAGAAAATGAAAAATATCCAATTTGGAGAAATAATTTTATCTAAAAGTTTCTAAAATTAATTATAAAATAATATCCATTATCGAATTTATATTTCTCCTATAAAAAAATTAATTCCTTTTGTTTTTTCCTAATGAAATCTATATTAATTGTTAATGTTTAAATGAAAAAGACGAGAAAATGATGAGGTTTGGTTGAAATTTTGATTATTTTCATTTGATTAGTTCAATTTTTAAAGCTAATCATCTTTCCATCAATTGACAATATTTGTTTTATTATATTAAAAATATAATGCATAAATTTATCTCTCCAATGATAGGACGGATAAATTTAATGTTCATTAGTTTCATCGGTTCATTACATATTATTATGATAGATCGATGAATCGATAAATCTGATATTTATAATTAAAGTAATTCAGCATATGTTATATGATATAAAAAATTAATTGGATTAGATTAGAACTGAAAATTAATTGTTTAGTTTTAATTTCTAATTGTGTAAATTTATATAATATATAATGCTATAATGCTTATAATGCTATATTAATGCTTATGTAAATTATTAAAGAGAGAAATTAGTTGAAATTTCAAAAAAAAAAATAGAAAATGTTTACTTTTTTGCCATTTCAAGGTATTAATAATTAACTAATAATTATTACATATTGCACAAATATTACTTATTCGTTTATTTTAATTACACTATTATTCCATTTGTTATATTGTTTTAATAATATAATATTATTTACAAATAACAATAACAACTATATTTTATGGTAAAATTTAATGAAAGAGAGAGAGAGAGAGAGAGAGAGAGAAAAAAAGAAAAGTGAAAGTGATTTTAACAATGTATATAGTATTTACTATGATAAAATAAAAAATAATATCACTGTTAACAATATATCTGAGCATTCATATCATTTATCTATTTTTCTCTCGCCTATCACTCATTTTATTGCCCGAGAATTTCGCTTTTATTGCCCGAGAATTTTTCTTTTATTCCCCGGGAATTTCTCGGGATGTTTTCAAATATACAAAGATGAAAAAGAAATAAAACTAATTTACACTCTTTTTTTTGCTTAGTATAATTTTATTCTATTATTAATAGCATTATCTTATAACAATGTCCTAAACATTATATGTCTGTCAAATTTTCTTCAAATTCCATATTACTTCTATTTCTCTCCCGCATCCTTCTCACTGTTAAATGTTATGTTGAATATCCCGCAATTATCTTATCACCGTATTGTTCCAAGCATACTTGTTAACTCATTGCTTATATACATATTTAACATCAACAATTATCCATGTGAAAAAACTTTCCACGTAAGGTAAATTATCTTTAATCGATTTATGATCACTTAGTAAGAAATTTTTGCTAACATTAATTATTCAAATGCAAGGAATTTTTGAATGAGAAAAAATTTTTGATTTGAATGAGAATTGATATCAATAATTTTGGATAGGAAAAATATAATGACTGGGAAGGAAAGGAAATGTATCCATTTAGGAATATCATTCGAAATCGAAATTTCATCTATTTTTTTATCAGTCTCAAGTGAATGATCAAGAACTATTTTAATTGATATAACCTATAATATAATTATTATATTCATTACTCAGTCTATCATAAAAACATTAAAATTGTTTCTAATATGTTTACAATCAATTCTTTAAACTTACAAATAAGTTGAATTAAATAAATAAATGGATTTGTATTGTTTTTGCTATTTGTCCGTCTTAATTAATCAATCTATTTTATTACTTATCATTCTCTTTCTTTTTCATTGTTTACTATTTCTTTTCTAATTCATTTCTTTTTTGCACTTTTTCTATGAAAACAAGTTTTGCTTTGAAAAATGCTTATTGTTTGACAAATGGTTTGTTCTAGGCATTCCAAATGTTTCAATTTTTGAAATATATTGATGAAAATTTGTAGTAGCTTATAGAAATTTAGAGTAACAATAAATAATAAACAATAATAATAATAAATAATAATAATAATAATAATAATAATTGTTATTATAATCATTATAGCAAATGGAATCACAGTGATTAGGAAATTGAATTGTAGAAAAAGTTGCAATAAAAATAAAATATGGGAAACAGATATCCACAACCTTGATTAAATCCTCCATTCGTTGGATGATGACAATCAGAAGAATCGTTTATACAAATATATATTTGCGGATGCTCTCTGCAAGGACAGAATTACGCATCCGATATGCCGAGTAAGCAATCCTTCGGAATGGGTTCAGGATGTTAGCCACTTCATCCGTTATTTTAATAGTTAGGCTATTTTGAAAGAAATGAAAAACAAAGAATTTGAAGTGAAAAAGAAGGTAATCAATTTAGTAGCCTAGTACCTCAACGTTCTTCAGCTATGGAGTGACCAGATGATTCAATGTATAATACATAATGTATAATATACATATAGTAATTTTTGAGTGATAAATATGCATGGATAACAATGCATATCGGAAAAAAGGCAGTAATGAAATGGCTACAGTAACCACATTAACGTTCTTTATGATTGAATATTTGTAGTATTAAATTAAAAATTTCCAAGCAAAGAAAATTTAATAATCGATCATTATAAACGAAATTTTAATAATAAAAAACGTTTTGTCTTATTTTGATATTTATTCTATTGCATTTCAAAAAATTTAAGTAATAAAGTGAATGTGATTTTTGAATGTGATTCTAAAATTGTTTTTAACAGATAACAATAAACTGATAAACATTATTCAACAAAGTTTTTCATTTTATTATTATT